ACACATTGATGTTTCTCTCCCAACTTTCTCCCTCTCTTCCCCTATCTCTAAAAATAAATAAATAAAATCTTTGAGGAAAAAAATAAAACTTTAATAAAAATGAGCACTGAACATTTTAAAATATGGAACTAATTCTAGAATCTTATTATTATTGTCTATCACAAAACTAACTGAACTTTATAAATTCTCATGGGAGCTATAGTGATCTGATCAACCTGTCAAAAGAGCTGTTCTACAAAACTGCTAATGGAAAAAAAGCTTATACATTATGAAAAACAAAATGAGAAACCCACTTAATTCAGTGGAAGTTTTGTAAATATTTGCCTTATGTCAATAAATGTAAAAATTTGTATAAAACAGGTATAACATTTTAATGTAGACAAACTGAGAGAAAAAGACAAAATTGAGGACCTGGCCAGTGTGACTCAGTTGGTTGGATGTCATGCAGCAAACTGAAAAGCTGCTGGTTCGATTTCTGGTCAGAACACTTGTCTGGGTTGCAGATTCAGTTCTGGTCGGGGTGTGTGCAGGAGGCAACCAATGTTTCTCTTCCACATTGGTGATTGTCTCCCTCCCTTCCCCTCTCTCTAGAATTGATAAAAGGAAAATAAAGACAAAATCAAGGATATTATTTTTAGTTGCTCTTTTGGAAATGTCCATTATTATTTGGCTTTAACTGAAACTACCTTGATCCAATTTGAGGACCCATATTTTGGGAAACCTCAATCAAAGAACATTATGGGGAAAGCACAATCTAATCAACACCTACTAAAAATCACTTTGTTTACTCATTACCAAAGGGATTTATGATCAATACTGGGAGACATTTTTATTGATATTTTTGTAATCTCCGTTTGAAATGATTTATAATGGGAGCATTTTTCCCTCTCTTCATTTGCTACTCAGCTTTTCTTATGACTTTCAGGCTATTGTACTGAGTGCTTATCTATGATTTACCCCCTTTTTTGGACAGATCACTCACTTTCTGTTCACTAAAAATCAGATTTCTGGCCCTAACATTATTTTAAGGAAAATGTAACTTACATAAAATGATAAGTATTGTTAGTATAGCTAAAAACACATACTTTCTAATTAAGTGTTCTGTTTATTGGGGTGGTAGGGCTGACTCCATACTCAGTGGAGACACAAAAATGCACATCGTTTCTTAAGGCCTCAAAGCACCAAAAATCTTGTGGGTGACAAAGAAAACTCGTCAGTCAACAACTAATCATAATTCAATTTGATAAGTACTGTATTTGAGGTTTCAATATAGAAGTCATTGAAGAATGGAACAGTTAATTTTGCCTTGTAGAAGATGTCATTGAGAAAGTGATATTTAAAAGTCCTGTTGAAGTATAAGTAGGATGTCAGGCAAAGAAGAAGGGAAGGGAAAGGAACATTCTTACTAATACATGAGTGAAATGTAAATATAGGAAAGAAATCACAGAGTCATGAAAGTATATTTGGAAGACCACCCAAAATGAGCTGGCAGGACTAAAGGGTAGAGATTGTGGAATGGGAAGAGGGGAAGATGGAGGGTTTACTTGTGAAGGTTCTTAAATGTAATACTACATTTTAGGATTTTAACTCATTGGCAAGGAGCTGTCAACTTTATGTAGAGGTAACATGATTGAATATATTAAGGAGATAATTTTTGTAGCACTTGGTGATGGGTAGGGAAATTGTACTCTGAAGTCAATTAAAAGAGCTATTTTAGGACTCCAGGTAGTAGGGATAGAGAAGGAAACAGATTTGAGGGAGATTTTTGTGTGGTATCTCCATTGTCTGTGTGTTGGAGGGGAAAGGGAGGAACCAGTAATGAATGAGTCTTGAGAAGTTTGGCTTGGATGCTTAGGTGGGAAGCTATTAACTAAGACTGGGAATACAGAAGGGGTAGATTTGGTAATAGGTGAGTTCAGTTTGATGTGTGGGAAGTTCAATCTGCCCATGGGGCATATAAGTAGAGATAGTACATAGTTAGAAATGTAAGTTGGACCACATGGGGGAGGTGTGGGTATTTATGTAGACGACAGAAGGAAACATTTTTAAAAATGTGGATGAGATCAGTTAAAACTATTGTATAAAGTGAGTATGTGTGTTTGTGAATATTGGTGTGAGGGTGTAAGTTACCGAAAACAGTCTGAGGTAACCACACATAACTGTAGAGGGAGTCTGCTACCAGAAGGTACTACTTGTTGAGATGTGATCATTAACTTCCTGAAAGTTAAAAAGGAAGTGTGCTCACTTCCACAGCACATACACCAGGTTAAAATCTATTGGGAGATGAAAGAAAGGGGAAAGTTAGTTGAGGCTGCTAGCTATCCACCACATGTTTGTGTTTCCTCTCCTATATTCTTGTCGTTGGCCAGCAGCTGCCCAGTCAGAGATTATATTTTTCTAGTCACTTGCACAACTTGGTGTGGCTGTGTGATTAGTTCTCCCCAAAGTAATGAAATAAATGGTATGTGTGACATCAGGTCAAAGTGTTTAAGATGCATTTGTTTCCCTAATTTGTCTGCTGAATGCAAAGGATTCTGAGGGCCTAGGGGATGGGGACACCACAAGATGGAAGGAATTTGAGTTCTGTTGTAGTCCTTTGTATTTCCTTATCAATTTCAGGATTACCTTCTCAATTTCTGCAAAAAATCCGCCTGGGATTTTGAATCTATAGGTGAATTTGGGGAGTATTGACATCTTAACAATGTTAAGTATTCTAATCCATGAACATGGGATGTTTTCATTTATTAAGGTGTTCCTTAATTTCTTTTAACAGTGTAGTTTTCAGTATACCAGTTTTGTACTTCTTTTGTTAAATTTACTCCTCTAAGAACTTTATTACTTGTTTATGTTATTGTAAATGGAATTGTTACCTTGATTTCATTTTCAGAATGTTGGTTGTTGCTGTATAGAGATACAATTGATTTTTGTATCTTGATCCTGCAACCTTGCTAAACTTCTGTATCAGCTTTAATAATTTTTAGTCGATTCCTTAAGATTTTCTGTATATAAGGTCATGTCATCTGCAAAAATAATTTTACTACTTTCTTTCCAATCTGGTGTCTTCTGTTTTCTTTTCTTGGCAAATTACCGTGGGTAGAACGTCCAATACCATGTTGAATAGAAGTGGTAAGAGTGAACATCTTTGCCTTGTTCCTAATCTCGAGGGAAACATCTAGTCTTTCACAATTAAGTGTGTTATTAGCTATGGGTTTTTTATAGCTCTCTATAAGGTTGAGGACGTTGAGTATTTTTATCATGAAAGGTGTTGGATTTTATCAAATACTTTTTCTCCACCTATTGAAATGATTGTGTGGTTTTTGTTATATTTATGTTTCACCTTAAACATATAGAATATTTTGAAAAGTATAGTCACAACAAAAAGATTGCTAACTTAGCCATTTCTAAGACAGATGTTTCCAATTAGTCCTAATTCAGAGTCCTTAAGAATTAAGAAAACTAATTTACTTCTTTGTCATCACTAAGTAAATAAAAATGAGACTGTATTCACTAGGGAAAAAGTAAAGGGAAAAGATGAATGGTCAGCTACTAAAGTTGGAATTACTTCGTGTATTATTAACTATGTACAGTTATCAAATACTGTCTCAATTTGAAAATGCAATGGTTGATTAGTTTTAGAGTTGTACAAGTCTATAGACAGAGATGCATATTCAAATATATAGCTCATAAAATGGTCACAGTTATTTGTCCTGTAACAGATTACATTGTTGGCAAACATAAAATACATAGCTCTTCTCATTATTACATGTATACATTATGATGTGTAATAGCACTGGAAAGCATTTTACTGTATAATGCACTTTTTTGCCCAAATTTTTGAGGGAAAAATAAGGATGCGCATTATAGATGGGTATAATGATTACATGCCGTGGGTATAATACTAGGCATTAAAATCCTGTGTATAATGTGTACAAAAACATGGGTGTGCATTATACACGGGAGCACATTATGCACAGCAAAATATGGTACATTATAAAATCTATGCATTTCTTAAACATTCTTCTTGATGTAGTGAATGTTGTTGTAAGAAACATCCCAACCTGTAGAGAATTAATTTTGTAAGAGTTATTTGAGCCAAACTGATGACAGTGCCAGGAAGCAAGATCTCAACAGAGAATAGTGCTTCCCAGAATGACAGTTTTCAGCTTCTTTTATGCATTTGGGATTCAGGAGGTAATATAAGGAGGCTTAAAAGAAGATGAGAGAAAGCATCGTGGGGATTGGATTATAGGATAATTAAGATTATGTGCTCTCTTGATGTTGGTTAGGCTTCTGAGGATTCTCAAAATCAGGCATTTCAGAAGTACTCCTATGGCCCTGGCTGGTGTGGCTCAGTGGATTGAGTGCGGACCTGTGAACTAAAGGGTTGCTGGCTCAATTCCCAGTCAGGGCACATGCCTGGGTTGCAGGCCAAGTCCCCAGCAGGGAGCACACAAGAGGCAACCACACATTGTTGTTTCTCACCCTCCCCTCCCCTCTCTAAAAAAAAATTATGCTAATGTTACTACCCTTGCGGGTGTGGCTCAGTTGGTTGGAGCTTCATCCCATTCACCAAAAGGTTTGGGGTTTGATTCCTGGCTAGAGCTCATATGGGAGGCAACCACCCCATGTTTTTCTTTTATCAGCGTTTCTCTCTTCCTCTCTAAAATCAATAAACATTTCTAAAAAAAATAGTTATGTTAATGAAGATGCACAAAAAACAATGGACACGGCTTGTGTAAGGAAAAGATAGACCTTTTACTAAAGAAGTTATGTGCCTGGGGTGTGACTACCCACCATGAACTTCCTAGTTTGGAATGTATGATCAGATCGCCCTGTGAAGTTACTTTTGGTTAGTTTTATTATAGCACCTTCCCCCCACCACCCCTGCTAAAAAACCCAGCCATTTTTAGAAAGACTATTCACTCGAGTTTTCTAAAAGTGTATACATAAATGGTCTTTTAATGTGAAAAATTGTTGGCTTTCTGTTCTTATGATTGCAGGAAGTGTATGTACCTCATTTCTTACCCAAAACTACCAATTGCCAGTTCTTGATACAATGTTTATAAGAAAGAAATATCGAAGCAAAGATTTTGGGCTTCATATGCTGGAGGACTTTGTTGATTCCTTTACAGAAGATGCACTTGGTTTGCGGTATCCACTGTCCTCGCTGATGTACACAGGTAAATTGATTAAGTTAAAAATATTAAATTTGTCTCAGTGTCACTTTGGACTTGTTTCTGCAGAATATTTTAAATGTGCATATGTCAGTATTAAGTAAATTTTGATTTTTTGGCACTGTAAGGCTTAGTTTTGCAAATATGTCCTTATCTCACATATATGACTTTTGGGGGATATGGTAGCTTTAAAAAAATTAAACTATAATTTATATACCATATAACTCACCCTTTTAAAGTGTACAGTTCAGTGGTGGTTAGTATAGTCATAGCTGTATAGCCATACCACTATCTAATTCCAGAACATTCTCATCCCCAAAAGAAACTGCATCAACTAGCAGTCACTCTCCATTCCTCTATTTCTTCATTCCCTAGCAACGAGTGATCTGTTTTCTGTCTCTTTGGATTTACTGTTTTGGACATTTCATATAAATGGACCCATGTGATTTAATTATAAGCCCTTTGTGTTTAGCTTCTGTCATTTTGCATATATGTTTTGAAAATTCATCTCTGCTACAAGCATTAATCAATGCTTCATTCCTTTTTATGGCTGAATAACATTCCATTGTATGGATATGCCATATTTTGTTTACCCATCAACTGATGGACTTTTAAATTGTTTCTACATTTTAGCTATTATGAATTATGCTGCTATGAATTTTTGTGTAGTTTCTGTGTGGACATTTCTCTTGTGTATACTTGTATACCTAGATTTGGAATTGTTGGGTGATATGGTGACTCTATGTTTAACATTTTGAGGAATTGCCAAACTGTTTTCCAAAGCATCTGTACCATTTTACATTCCCATAAGTAATGTATGAAGGTTACAATTTTTCTACGTCCTTGCCAACAGTTGTTAATTATCTGCTTTTTTTCATTGGGTGCAAAATGGCCTTTCATAGGTTTGATTTGTATTTTTTTAAAGATTTTATTTATTTATTTTTAGAGAGAGGAGAATGGAGGGAGAGAAAGGGAGAGAGACATCATCGTGTGGTTGCCTCTCACATGGCCCCCAATGGGGACCTGGCCTGCAACCCAGGCACGTGCCCTCACTGGGAATTGAACTGGCAATCTTTTGATTTGCAGCCCATGTTCAATCCACTGAGCTACACCAGCCAAGGCCTTGATTTGCAGTTGATGTTGAACAGCTTTTCATATGCCTATTGGCCATTTGTATATCTTCATTGGAGAAGTGTCTAGTTAGATTCTTTGACCATTTTTTCTTTGGGTTGTCTGTGGTAGCTTTCACATTAAAGAAAAAGAAATTTTAGACATACAAAAAGTTATAAAAAATAAGGTAAATACTTATGTACCACCACCATTTGTACCATCCATGAGAAGTGGATCATTGCCAACGTACTTGTACTCCTACCCAGTTAGCTTGCTCCCTTTACTGAAATAAGCACTGTCCTCAATTTGTAATTTCTTTTCTTTTTTCTTTTGTGTTCTAATTTTATGATTATAATATATGCAAAGTTTTTAATAACTGGAAATGCCTTTTTTAAAATAATGATACATGTTTTTTGAATGTATCTCCAATGCTTAGTATAAAACTTGGAACATTATAGGCACTCAGTTAATAATTGCCGAGATAATGAGTGGTCTCATTTAGAGAAGTTTGGAAGGTCATTCTTATCTGTAGAAGGGTTGGCTTTTATTCATGTATTTCTTACTTTTAATACATATGTATGTATCCTTCAATAATGTAATTTTTAAATATTTAAAAACATATATAAATGAAAGGTACTGTATGAATTCTTCTGTAGTTCACTTTCTTTACTCATCTTTATGAGATTCATTAATGTGGATTCACAAAGCTTTATGTTGTTCATTTTGAATGCTGTTTAGTATTCCATTGTAGAGCTATACCATATAGAGATGTTGAAAAACTATTAGTGGATTTATATTTGCACTTGTATAAAGTCCATGCAGCTACTGTTTCTTTAATATAGTAAGATTTAATTCTGGAAATTAATTTATTTGAAAAGTTTTATAAAATACAATGTACCATTGATTTTACTCTAACATCAGGTGCTTCTTTCCACTAAAAATATATTTTCTAAGCTTCCTCCCTCTTTTTAATACTAAAAATCTAGAAAACAAGAACCGAGTGTGACATCTCCATTTTGAATCATGAGACTAGAATGAACCCTGTATACCTTTTGATAATCTGAAAATAGATTTTCTCTTAAAGTCTAATTATTGCTTTACTGAATTTGTGGAGGAATGCAAACACATCCTCACTGCAGGAAGAATCTCATAAGACTTACTCTTTTCCAGGATTCTAGTGATAAATTAATTGAAAAGCACATGAATTACAGGTGAATGTCAGCTAATCTGTCTTTGCATAAAGACTTGAGCTCTTTTCTTTCAGTTAGACAGGAGCTTTCCTGACAGTGATTTATTGGTGTCATTTGTATAATTTTGTGAATACTCTTTGAAATGTGAAAATAAAGGAATATGTTGAGAATAGAAGTTTTTAGACTATGTGGCTTTTCCATCATTCCTGTTTTTTGCTCTTCTCTCTCCTGTGCAATGCTTATTATCTTTGAAGGGCTTGGATTTCCATTTGATTTTCGCTTTCAACTTAATGGCTCCTTGGTATTGCAATATACCCAAAAGTTCCTTGATGACCTTCATTTGTTTCCATGAATATTTTTAAACGTTTTAGGAAAGAACGTAGTGTTTTACATTGTAAACCTTTTTTAAAAACAGATTTGTTCATTTCAAAAATGGGTAATGAGTGCCAAGTATGATTGGGTTTGGTCTCAGCCTAGAGTAGGTGCTTAGCTAACTATGGGAAGTTGATTTATACAGCACTATAGACTGTATACCAAAGACATGGAATAAATAAGATCTTGTGAATGTTCTATTCATTTGGAGTTTATCCTGGTGTGTACCATGTAAGGTACAGATCCAAGTTTATTTTACCTGACAGGTGTCTGGTTGTCATGATATAATTTATTGAATAATTAATTTTTGCATTGAATTGCATTCATATCTGTATCAGGAGTCAGGAAACCATGGTCCACTGGCCTGTTAACAATTTTAGTAAATAAAGTTTTATTGGAACAGAGCCTTGCTCATTCACATTTTGCTTGTGGCTTCTTTTGCACTAAAATGTCAGAGTTGGTTAGTTATGACAGCGACCGCATGGCCTGCAAGCTTGTATGTATTATCTATCCCTTTAAGAAAAAGTTTGCTAACTATCTATTAATGTATCATATTGTGTATATTTATATTTCTATAGATCTGGATTACTTAGCTGAGTGGTATAAGTGTAGGAGTTCTCTTTTTCTGACTATGACTCTCTGGCTAGACACATCTGAATTTAGACTTTCAACTCGAGTTACCTTTTGTTAAGTATTCCCTTTGGACCTCAGACTTGTTCTGTAGGTAGTCTTTACTGTTTCAGTCATTTTGGTTCAGGCAGAGGACTCACTTTGGCTTATTGCGTTGGTTTTTCCTCCAACTTCTCCCTTCGTAATAGATATGAAAACTAAAATCAGAAAACATGAGAAATAGTTTAAAATATATAGGGGAAAAATGAGAGGAGTATCTTCGTGTCCATGTATCCATTATACAGATGAATGAACACTGGGATTTTACCATGTTTGTTTTCATTTATTTTTAAGGAGAATTAAATAAAACATTGTAGATATAGTTGACATTCTTTTTGGGCCCCTCCCTAATCCTATTCCCCCTTCTTCTTACTTTCCCATGATAACTGCATTCCTGCAGTTTAGTGTATATATCCTTCCTGCCAGTGGTCTTATACTTATGTCTATGTTCATAAATGCTATAACACATTATTTTGTGTGCTTTTTTATTTAAAATTTTTAAAGCATGTTTTTGTAATTACATATACATAATATAGTATTTATCATTTTAATCATTTGTAGGTGTACAATTCAATGGCATTAGTCATATTCACAATACTTATATACCCTTCACCGCTACCTGTACCTCAGAATTTATTATCACTCCCAACATAAACTCCATAACCTTAGACTATAGCTCCCTGTTTTCCCCTGCCCCTGTTCTCTGGTAACTTTTGTGCTCTCTGTCTCTGTGACTGCATCTTCCCAGGTACCTTATATAGGTGGAATCATACAACTTTTGCCCTTCAGTGTCTGTCTAATTTCACTTCGCATAACATTTAAAGTCCATTCATTGGTCTGAGCACCTGCTTTCATTTCTTTTGGATATATTTCTGAGAGTGGAATTGCTGGGCTACAGGGTAATTCTGTGTTTGGCTGCTTTCCACAGGGGCTGCATTTTGTTTAATGTGTTTTTGAACTTTACATAAATTATGCCATTTTGTACATACACTGACTTGCTTCTTTACTGACTTTTTTTATTTTTTAGATTTATCAGTGTCTATATATATATATATATATATATATATATATATAGCTATAGTTTATCTGTAGCTGCTATATAGTATTTTATGGTATACATATTATGATTTATTCATATATACTCTAATGATAGGCACTTAGGTTGTACCCCTACCCTAGTTTAGAAACAGTCCTATAATGAACATTATAAATACGTTCTTGTGTATGTGTCTGAGTTATTAGGCTATATACCTAGAAGGAAAATTGGATCAATTGGATCAATGCCTTCTCAGCTTTACTAATTGTTGCAGAATTGTTCTGAGACCAGCAGAGTCCATTTCCCTTACTCTCTTCATGCTTGTTATTTGTTAACATTATGGGTATGAAAATGGTATCTTGTTTCATCTTATATTTCTTTGGCAGCTATTTAGGTTTGAAGCATTTATTTTTGTTTAGTGACCATCAGGTTTCATTATGTGTGAATTTCTTGTTCATAGCCTCTGCCATTTGCGGGGAGTGGGGATTATTGTCTTTCTGTTTCAATTTTAGGAGTTTTTTATATGAATGGAATACTAATCCTTTGTTTTATTCTAAGTGTCTCCTAATCTGTGTTTTTATGGTATCTTTTTATTATAAAACTATGAAGTCCAGTGCAATAGCCACTAGCATACAATAGATATCAATTTAATTAAAATTAAATGAAATTAAAAATTCAATTCCTCAGTAGCCACATGTGTCTAGTGACTATTATATTGGATGTAGGACCTTTATCCAATATAAAGGACTGATATAGGACCTTTTCATCATTGTAGAAAATTCTGTTGCATAGCCCTAAAGTTTTAAACTTTAGCAGTCAGGTTCATTATAATACTTTACTATAAATTATGATTTTTGTATCTTTTATAAGAAATTCTTTAGTACTGTAATGTTCCAGAAGTATTTTCTTATGTTTTCTTTTAAACATTTTGCTTCTCATAATAGGTCTTGGAATATATCCAGAATTTACTTTTATGAATGACATTGATGTGAGGTCAAGATCTGACTTTGTTTTCTGTATGGATTTTTATTCTAGCATCATTATTTTAATAGCTTATTCATCCTCTGATGAGAAATAATACCTCCTCTGTCATTTGCCAAGTTTTTACTATATGTGTGGTTCTTTCCTGGTGTCTTGGTGTTTTAATTTTTCTTCTTTCTCATTTACTTCCTCCTCTTTTTTTCTCTTCCTCTCATTCTTCCTCCTTTACTGCCATATTCATATATCAATACCAGGTTGTTTGAATTACTGTGTCTTTATGATTTTTGATATCTACTAGGGTAAAGCCCTCCTTATTTTTTCCTTCAACATTGGCCTTGATACTCCTTTTTTTTTTCAAGAGGAAATGAGATTCAACTTTATTTGAAAAAACAGAAAAAGATTTATGTGTCAAAAGATAGCATAACGCCACACCCAAGCAATAGACTATGTAAAGCATTTGTAACATTGTAGCTATTGATAGCTCATAGCTCTACTGTATGAAGAATGCCTACAAATAGGCATTGAAAAGGCAAATAGCCCAACTGAAATATGGACAAAGGAGATGAAAGGGAAGTTCCCTTCATCTCAGTACTCTTTTTTAAGCCTTTCTTCTTTCATTTTGAATTTGGAATCAAGTTTTGTAAATTCCATTAAAAAAGAAATTCTTTTGGGATTTTGTTTAGGATTGTATCAGTTTACAAAATAGTTTGGAGAGGATTGGTGTTTTTACACTATTGAGTCTAAGAGTCCTTTTATTCAATTTTTTATATCAGTAAAATTTAGTAATTTTCTCTCTAAAAGTTAAACCCATCTTTTATTAAGATTTTTATTTGGTAATGTTAAAGCTTTAATATGGATTTTTAGATTTTTTATTTAAATGAGACAACTGTATGATTTTCTTTCCTTGAGTTGCCTTGGTGTTTTGGTATCAAAGCTATGCTAGCCCATTAAGTAAGTTGGCAGCTTTTTGTTTTCTGTCTGTTTTTTAAAGCAATTGATATTTGGGATTTCTAGAAAATTCTAAATGTGTTTTTCAGCTTGCAAGCAATACTTTGAAAAGTATCCAGGAGACCATGAACTCCTGTGGGAAGTTGAGGGTGTTGGACACTGGTGCCAGCGAATACCCATCACCAGAGCATTACAGAGAGAAACACTTAAAATTACAGGTAAGGGTGTTTTTAGTTTCAGCACATGTCCTGCTTAAAAATATCAGTGCCTGAGGACAGTTGTGTCTTACTGTCTAGAGTAGTGGTGCATAGTAATGTGATCCGTCTAGTAACAGACCCTCTTTTCTAAAGTATGATTTTTTTGTTATGTATTAGCAGTTGAGTCGCTAAGAATAGTAACAGTGCAGTAGGAATTGGTGGCTAAGACAAAAACAGAGTTCCTGAAGCACCATAGAATAGGCACCAGGGGATCAGAGGTAGTCCCTAATGTTATGCACCTGTCCTCAAAGTCACAAAATACAGATAACTATTTAAAATTTTTTTTGAATTGCAAGGTTTAATTATAAGGTGCTGGTGAAGGGGATACCCCATACCTAGATTTTCAACACCTTTCCATTCAGGGTGCTCTGCAGGGATTCTGTGAAAATCAGAACAATGTTATAATTAAAACCAAATACTGATTGGGTTACAATTTTTAAAATTCTTCTACACACAGCACTTTCTCCAAGTGAAGCTAAAAGACCTGTGTCTGGAGAATATGGTCTTGCATCTGCTCCAGAATATGAAGCAAGAACTGAAGACAGTCAGTCTAGTGAGATGCAGCTAACTGTAGGTACACTATATGTTTATTGTAGGAGATAATTCTACTGTGTCTTTAAAATAGATTTAGCCAATATTTAATTTTTCAAATGTTACTGTTCATTCAACAGACTTACGTAATTTCTATTGTATTAGTTTTCTGGCATCTTTTAAGTGGTTGCTAAGTTTCACATTTGTAAAGGCCCAGCAGTGAACAAATTTATACATGCATCCTTGTGCACATGCAATTATTTCCTTGCACAGATAAGTTTCTAGACATGGAATTAGTAATGGGCCGAAGGTTATGAAGTTATTGTGGGAAGTTTGAAGCTAAGTTTAAATAAGTGTGTGCTAGGCCTGTGTAGAATGAAATGCACTTTGCAAATACTAGGTAACCTGAAATCAAAAGGACAGGTCCCATTACTAGACTTACCAGATACTTTCCTAGAATTTATTTGATATTACTTAAAATGTGGGCCCACTGATGGGATTCTAGAAGTCTATTTTTATACAGTGTTTTGTTGTGATGGTACTTATTACAGTCATATTTGTTTTGCATATGGGTTTCTGAGTATTGAGTATGTCTATGTAAATGCATGTGCATTTCAGAGATGAGTGCTTGGGGAATTATTTGTTTCTCTTATTTCCTGTTTTAATCAACAGGAGTGTTGACTACGTGAATGAAAAATTTTAGAACGTTTTTAAGGATAATGTAAATAATAACTATATACCTTGTATATAGGTATATTCCTTATAAGGAATTAGTTTAAAAATTTTTTTCTACATTTGGAACTTCATACTTTAAAATAAGCCCTAGTTCTATTATATTGCATTCCACATTCCTCAGGTATACTCAGATTTATTTTAGTTTTGGTGGGATATCATAAAACCAGGGAAAGTAGAAAAATCTACTCTTCTCATACATGCAGTGAGACCAATGGCTTTTTTTAATATTAAGCCAAATAATTTTCAATGTGGCATTTTAGTGAGAATATATTGAAATCGCACCATGTCATAAGGTTGGCAGCATAAATTACATTTTGTTTCATTTTAGAAATTCATATTTTTGTTACTTTAATATTTTAATAATTCAAGGAAAATATTTTTGATATGAAGTTATTATATCTTTATCAGTAATGGCATAAGGAAGTGGTTTTATTTGTTTTTTTGTTTATTTTGCCACATGATATATTTTTTATCTTTATTGAGGTATTGATAAATAATCATATCTTTAATGTGTACAAGTTTGTGTTTTGATATACATATACATTGTGAAATGATTATCACTATGTGATTTACTCTTTAGGTGATGGTATTTCTATTTGCTTTTTCCTATTTTTGGGCATAAAACATTACATGTACTTTATTTTTTGTACCTTTTATTCACATTTATGTCTTAACCTTGCCTAATTGAACTACAGGCTTGTTGTACATAGGATTTTTTTCTTATCCATCACAGTTGTTCCCTTGTTTGTGTCCTGTGAACCCACCTTGATGTGTAAGTGCCTGCCACATTGTAGGGTTTCGATAAGCATATGACTGAATAGCAGTTTACATGATAAAGTAGGTACTGCGGCAAGCGCTGGACATACAAATTAGGGCTCTGTTAAGTGTGGGAAAGGTAGATGGTTCATTACTGGAAACAGATAAATAAATAATTATACTAAAGGACAATAATTGCCTTAATAGAGCACATAGCAAGTGGTTGCAGGTACATAAAAGCGTGTGAGTAACTCCACCCAAGGACTGGAACTGGTGAAGTAGTAACCAGGCTGAGCTGACTTTTAAAGGGTGGGTGGGGGTTCTGTCCAAGTGTTGCCAGGGCATTCCAAGGGATCACATGTGCAGAAACACACAGGTGTGAAAGAAAACAGTATGTTTGATATGGAAGAGTATTTGGTATTGGAGAAGTTGAGAGGTTTTACTCTAGGCAGTGATAAGCCATTAATTAAGTAAAGGAGTAGTGCAGTTTGTAATTTGGAAGCATCACTGTCATCAGGGTGGAGAGGATTATAGGGCATTGTAATTAGAGCAAGGGATACCAGTGAGGAGGCGGTGAGAACAGTTCATGTTAAAGATGGTAAAGGCCTGAACTATAGCATTTTTTATGGTTGGTTGGTTGATTGAGGGATAGAAAGAACTCATTACTCCCTCACAGGGTTCTGGTTAGAATGGCTGACTGAACTGTTACTGCCATTTAACCAAGGTAGGGAATAATATTGGGAAAAGGTTGTTAAATAATACTGCTCAGTTTGGGACAGGTTGGATGTGAAATTGGATGGAGTATCTACTGGGGAGTTATTTCATTTGGAATAGAGCTTTGAAAATCATGAAAGAAGCTGGGGAGATTACATTGTATGTTTGGATTCATCAGCAGATAAACATTGATGTGAAAGCAGTAGATAAAATTAAAGGGGAAGCATGTTGACTGAAGAGAAGGTAGCTGAGGACAGAATCCTGTAGCTCCAGTGTTTACCACTATAACATACAAGATGGCTTGACAAGTTCTGAGGCTCATGAATAAACTGAGGCTATAACATAGCTTCTTTATTTTACTTCTTAAGTAGGTTTTCTTAATTGGTGAGTATTGAGTGCTAAGAGTGCTGTTTAGAAAACGTTTTAAAATATTTTCTTTGGCACTGAATGAGTAGATCCATAGGAAGAAAAAGTTGATCTAAAACTTTTGGTTTAATTTGTATCTCTATTTTAGATTGATTCTCTGAAAGATGCCTTTGCAAGTACTTCTGAAGGTAAGAAATCCAGCTGACCTATCACAAAGTGTTCGAGACACTTAGAAATAGGAGTGTGTGTGTGTGAGTATTCCTTACAGTAAGTGAAGACTTGCGTAGTCCTAAAGTCTAGATGTGAGTTCTAATGCCTCTACTTCCCCTGATTTTGCTGTGTGAACAGAGTGAGATATGGGACCTCTCTTTTCCTCATTTTCTTACCTGTAAAACTGGGGGCAGTAACATCTACCTTGTTTATTTCCCGAGATTACTGGGAGAGAATATAAGTGAAAATGCAAAAACGCTTTGCAAAGCTCAAGGTAATATGGAAATGTGAGGAATGAATATTGACAAAGTTATTTCATAATTTAGAGAAGATACTGGCATTGTTTCTAATCTGATATGAGAGAAAGGAAGTATGTAACTGTGGGGATATGTGAACTAGAATAGTTCTTGTGTTTCTGTGTATTTTAATAGGCAACCCTTTGAATGCATAATCAATTAATTGTAGCTTCGCTGTTTTTTCTCAGGTCACGATAAGACACCAGTTTCCACCCGTACACGAAGTAGCCATCTGAAGCGGCCAAAGATCGGCAAGCGGTTTCAGGATTCTGAATTTAGTAGCTCTCAAGGCGAAGACGAAAAGACACCTCAGACTTCACCTATGTCTTCAGCAAACAAGTATTGTTTATTTCACTCCTGTTATTTTGTTTATTCTTATTTTCATACTATTAGTATTTCGTATTTAAGGTGGAGGCTATTATTATATTGTTTGTGTAACAAATGACCTTGGTATAGGAGTTTGTATTTGAATTCTTTTACAAGATTATTGATTATACTTATCAGTGGTGCCACTTTGACAATGTTACAGGGAGAAGTTGCTTATGATATAATCTCATAGATATGAAAAGCCAGAATATTCAGTTGATTATCCCAAATGTGTTGTTATCACTAACTTTGAATGTGACAGTAGCTGTAGCTTATAGTAAATGCTGAGCTGTGGTCAACTTTAAAATGTTCTATTTTACATTATAACTGATTCATTTCACTTGGTTACTGCATGTAGCATAAGTTAGTGACAACCATAAATGGTGCAGTCAGCTCCTCTTATTCAACAGAACACTTGAGTCAAAACTTTATCCTTTATCTCCCTTTGAATCTTAAAAAAAGCAAAATTTTTAATTTTATAGTAAAATTACGCTTTTGCCCTACTGGTCCTACAGCTGTTCTGGAGTCAGCCATTCATTCATAGCTTTGCCATTTTAGCTGTGAAATTATTTTACTTAGGTAGAGAATTCTGTAGCTGTTCTAATTTTGTTATGCAAATAATTTTGCATTTGTGGAATTGAGTAAGTATATAAATGTTTTATTTTTGTGAAAAATTAATGATAAAGGCAAATATAAGTAAATATTTAAATCTAGTAACTTGTGAAAAGAATAATAAGAGTTTAGATAATTATGGTTTTCTCACTGAGCAACATTTTGATGTAATACCCTTTTTAGAAGGAAATGTAACAATGCATTTTACTTATTTTTTTAAAGATTTTGCTTATTTATTTTTAGAGAAAGGGGACAAGGAGGGAGAAAGGCTGGGAGACATACACTGATGTGAGAGAGGAAACATAGACTGGATGTCTTGCGCACACCCCCACCGGGGACTGGGCCTGCAACCTGTCATGTGCCCGAACCAGGAATCAAACTAGTGACTTTCACTTTGTAGTCTGATGCTCAACCAAGTGAGCCACACTGGTCAGGGCTGTATTTTAAAATGAACATTTCAGAATGATGTGGAATTTTGTTTGCTTTTCATAAACAAAACAGACTAGTAAGGGTAAATGCTTGGAATGCTTAGTCAGACACTACAAAGAACATAATTTCATCTTTGCCCTCGAAGAGTGCCTAATGGTTTCTAATACACGTATCTGTCTGTGGCACAGGTTAAGAACACTGCGAGGTAGATTGTGATGGCACAATAATGAAGTACAAAATGCTGTGGATGCAGGGGACAGTGATTGGTTCTAATTGAGAGGGCGGAGAGATTTGGTATTTGGGCTAGGGCTTCAAAAATAAGTAGAAATTTAACAAGTTGAGTTGGGAAAGAAGACTTTCTAGTCCAGGGGTCCACAAGCCATCCATCTATGGATGATCCATAGACCAAATCTGGCTCACCACCTGCTTTTGTAAACAAAATTTTATTGTGACACATCCATGCTCATCAGATTGCGTGTTTATTTTGGTTGCTTTTGCATTACACTGACAGAGCTGAGTCGTTATTCTGAGATCTTATGGCTCACAAAACATAAAGGAAAAGTTTGCTGCCCTGGATGTGTACCAGGGATGTCCAACTTTCTGCAGTGAAGAAAGTGTTCTGTGTTTGCCCTACCTAATATAGTAGCCACTACTCAGCGTGCCCACTGAGCACTTGAAGTGTGGCTGGTGCAATTAAGGAACGGAATTTTTAACTTCATTTAATTTTAATTAATATAAATAGTGACTGTGTCTTGTGGCTACTGTTGTATTGTGCAGATCTAGACTACAGGGATAACATGAGCAAAGGCACAAAGCTAGAGGAATGTTGATAGGGTAACTGTGATTTGTAAGGTAAGTGACAGCATCCAATAGGAGATAAAAATATAAGGGCCTGCTCATATTAGGCTTCGAAAGGAGATACACTTTACTCTCTAAGCCATAGAAAACCATCAGAATTTTATGAGCAGTGCTGTTGCAAGTACAGATGTTTAGTAGAGACATAACTCTGAAAACCTTACTAAAGAACAAGTATTAGGATGAATTTGGGAAGAAGGTACGGGCCTGAAAATGGGAATAGTAAGTTAGGGGTATGTTTGAAGGGCATTTTGGAGGTAGAACTAAACCATGTCATTTATGGCCCAGACTGATTTTTGGGAAATCAAATTGAGAAAGAAAGGGGCATTATACTATGCGAGTGCTGGGCTAAAAGCTATAAACTGGACTTTCCCAGGTAAAGTAGGATGCATGTTCATTCTAATAGAATAAGATGTGATAAATACAGTTAGAGTAAAACAAAGGTCTAGTTTAGGTGATTAAAAAGATGGGGATATTATGATTGAACTGGAGAACGGTAAGTAGGAAAGAGGACAGATTTGTAGGATGAAGAGATTGGTTTTGGACCTGTAAAATTTGAAGTTGTTGACTGAACAGCACTCGGTCAATTCTCTCAAATATTTTTTTATTAACAGATTTCTGAAATTCATCTTTTAAAAAGCAAGTAGGCAAAAATGGTTTTCTTTTGTTTTCTAGATTGGAGCCTACTGCACACACATCAGAGAGCTCAGAAGAATTCCTGGAGGAAGAACAGGAACGGAGTGTGATTGAATTTGAGGATGGAAGTGGTGACAAAGATGCTCGCTCAGCACCAGAAACCCAGCCACACTTGGAGAAGCAAGATGGTGAAAAGGTTGGAGATCACATACTAAATAAAATGAGTGGAAATAAACTAAATTTTAACTTTCTTAATCATAGATTGTTAGATAAATATAATTAAATACTTTAGAATTGTAGTAGAAATAGTGTTTAAATGTTAAAAAGCATATATCTATATTAAACAAATTCAGGTACTGGAATTGGGGAAAGGCTAAGTTACAGGTATAATTTTATTTCAAAGTTTATAAAAGTTTGTCTCACAACAAAGATAAAATAGACATTGTTTAAGTAGTAAGGGACCTCAGTACATTTAAAACAAATTAATTTTTGGAATTACACATATTTAAGAAGTGATATAAATGATGCCTACCTTACAGAACCAGTTAGAATGTCTTAAGTTCCATCAGGTACTCAATTTCAAGCCTAGCTGATGAACAAATTCCTGGGGAAAACACTAAATTCATTTTTTTTAAACACTAGAACATCTGGCTTGATATTTTTCAGCTCCTCAAGTATTTGCCTCTATTTTCTTTTATCTTCTTTATTCATTTCCTATCCTTCTCTTCTTTTCTTTGATATCTTTAATCTTTTACTTTTTTACAGATTTATTTTTTTCATATGTCCTTTAAAAACTCTTTACCTGTTTGCCCAGTCCAGCCAGTAGCTAAACTAGAGAAACTACATTACTAATTTTACTTTTTAAACTAAAACCAGTTTAGCATCCTCTGCTTTTGAAACTATATTTTTAAATGGCATTTCTTCTTTTCTTGTAGAAAATTGGAAAAATAAAGTGCATTTTTAAAAAGAGTTATGGGTTGCTTCCATGTCTTGGCAATTGTAAATAATGCTGTGGTGAACACATGTGTACATATATTCTTTCGATTTAGTGTTTGGGGTTCTTTGGGTATATACCCAGGAATGGAATTGCTGGGTCATAAAGCAGTTCTATTTTTGATTTTTTGAGGGAACTCCATACTGTTTTCCACAGTGGCTGCACAAATCTGCATTCCCACTACAGTGCACTAGGGTTCCTTTTCTCCACATCCTCACCAACACTTGTTTGTTGATTATTGAGGATAGCTATTCAGCTATTCTGCCACGTGGTATCTTACTGTAGTTTTTATTTGCATTTCTCTGATTAGTGACGGTGAACAACTTTTCATATGTCTGTTAGCTATTAGTATGTCTTCTTTGGGAAAGTATCTATTCAGGTGTTCTGCCCATTTTTAAATTGAGTTGTTTTTCTGGTGTTAAGTTGTCTGGGTTCTTTATAAATTTTGAATATTAACCCTTCATCAGATGTATCATTGGCTAATATCTTTCCTCACACACTAAGTTAGTTTGATGTCCCTATTTTTTTTCTTTTGTTTTCCTTGCCTGGGGAGATAATAGCAAAAAACATATTGCTAAGAGAAATGCGTGAGATTTTACTGCCTATGTTTTCTTCCAGGAGTTTTATGGTTTTGGGTCTTACATTTAAGTCTGTAATCCATGTTGAGTTTATTCTTGTATATGGTATAAGAATGTGGTCTAGCAACCAAGTGTCCATGAATAGGTGAGTGGACATAAAAGCTGTGATATATTTACACAATGGAATACTACTTGGCTGTAAAAAGGAAGGAAATCTTACCTTTTCCAATAGCATGGATGGGCCTAGAGAGTAATGTGCTAAATGAAATAATTCAGACAAAGATAAATACCATGTGATTGCTCTTATATGTGGAATCTAATGAATAAAATAAACAAAATAAAGAGAGACTCATAAAGAGAACAGACTGACAGTCATTAGAGGAAAGGGGGTTAGTAGGAGCGGGTGAAAAAGGTGAAGGAATTCAGCAGTACAAATTGGTAGTTACGAAATGGTCACAGAGATGTAGATTATAGCATAGGAAATATAGTCAGTAATATTGTGAAAAACATGAGTAGGACCAGGTGGGTACTTGAAGCAGCAGGGGGACCACTCTGTATAGTACGTAATTTTTAAAACTATTTTGCTACAGAATAATACTGAATATAAACTAAAACTGAAAAATTGTAAAAATAAAAAAGATTTATGTGCACCTAGATGGTTATAGGCGTATATATTTGTTTATTTGTCTTTTAAAAGCATAATAGTATACTGTACATGCTTCATGTAACTGGTTTCGTTTGCCCAGCAAGTACATCGAGTACATCCTATTGTAGGTCACCAGTGACACATTCCTTCAGTTCCAGTGTATCTCCTCACCTAGACTGGCCTTTTCCACAGTATTCTCTGGGCCCTAGCTTTATAACACTACTGTATTTTGGTTTCTTGGTTTTCCTGTCTTTGAAGTTTTGTTTAGGATTTATTTATTTATTTTTTTGACTTCTGCTTTTCCCCCTTTATTTATGGATATTCTGAAAGACAGTTCTTTCTGCTCTTTGTTTATGTGCTCTCTCTTTTGAAAATGCATCCAGCCCAATGGCTTAATAAGGGGATGACCAATAACTCTAGACTTTCAATATTTATGTAGAGTATAGTCTCATAATGCTACTTGCCTTCTCAGGCAAGTATTTCTGTTCAGACAAATGTCTTTTTTCATCTTAAATTCAACATAATCTCTGGCCTTTTCACTTGTATGTTGAGACTTTTTTCTTCTCATCTTTCCTCTTCCCCTAAACAAAAACTGACTGGACTGAGTTTTTCTCTTCTGTTGTTTGTTACTTTAGTCACCAAAATTCTATTTTTTTAATCTTTTCTCTTTCTCATTTTCTTTCTTTCTTAACCTTCTTTTTTTAACATTTCTCCTACCCTAGTTGGTCCTTTTATGAGTTTTATTGTAATTACCTTCTGTGTGCAAGCTATTTATACTATCTGGCTAGATTAATTTTTCCAAGTCCCTGATTTCAATTTCCCTATGGAAAAGGTTATTTATATGATTTCAGGGGTTCTGTATAATCCAGCCAAATCTATTTCTGAACATTTGAGTACTTCAGTTTTCTTATTTTTAAAATGGTAATAAAATGCCTTCCATTAGAATGTCACTAGGATTAGAAGTATTAAACATTAAACAGAAGTGTTGTAAATTGATAAACATTGGGAAGAAGGTTTGCAGGAATTGGCACTTGTGTTATGAGATTACTTTTCTATATTTTAATGTAATATAAGGAGCAGGACTGGTCAAAAATGACCCTGGCTGGGTTGACTCTACAATGAACTGAGATTGGGGGCTCTTTCTCCCTGCATGAAGCTGTAGGCAAACTCAGCTCACACAAGATTGCTAGTGTTTCTTCCCTCTGGCAGGGTAACTAACTTCCCACAGGCCCCAAAGATAGTAAGTGGTGGACAGCTAATGTTCTGTAAAGAGGTAGCACTACACCTAGACTCTCTCTCTCTGATGCCCTATTACTGAAAAGGTTCCTCCCATGATTACCCTATAAGAAGGAAGAGCAAGAAGGGGCAGGGTTTCATTACCAGATCTTCATCCCACACTGTGTCCACTGTGCATCTGGGTCCTGTCCTCTCTCTCCATGAGAACAGGGGGAGCTTGAGGACACTTAAGGATTTTCTTTTACTGACCCTGCCTCATAAGTTTCCCCTTTCCCTCCAGTAAGACTATTCTCTAACCCCTGCCCTCTAATGTAGTAGAATTTATTTTGAGTCCTGGTGCGTGACAGATAGGCATTGAGAATGGCTCCACCTGGCGTGAAAAATAAGTTAGTCTGTAATTGTGTCCTGACTTATTTTTTTTTCTCCCAATGGTGTAGGAATCTGAATTAGAGCCTATGAATGGTGAGATAATGGATGATAGTCTTAAGACCTCTCTTATAACTGAAGAGGAAGACTCCACTAGCGAAGTTTTAGATGAAGAATTAAAATTGCAGTCTTTTAATTCCAGTGAAGACTCTGCAAATCTTGTTCCACTGATGGTAGAATCTTCAAAACCCTCTGAGGCTATTGCACAGGAAAAGGTAAGAGGGAAGTAACCTAAATTTTTATAGTTAATATATTCCAGTGTTGGTGACATTGGAGAGGCAGTGTAATATGTGTGTTTTCCTCCACCTTAATATGCACAGTCCTTTAGGAAAATGAAATTTTAGACTAGATTTTACAATGATATAATCAGTAATATTCCATAAACCAAATCTTTGTAACCTTATTCATTCTTACTAAATGAGTTTTACTTTGTAGAGGGAAAAGATTAGAAAAATGGATAAAAAGTATTTACCAACTATCTGACTACCTACTGCTTACACATTCATTTTAATTTGTTTTAATTAGGGAGACACAGATTAGTTGGAAAAACTTGATGGAATATTTTAAAAGAAATTTAATTTTTTATTTTGAATAGTTCAATTTAAGGCTAAAAATGTATTGTATAGCCTTGTTTTATTAGCATCTTATATAAATAAGTGAATAAAATTTCCATTGCCCATACCTGGCATCTAACTAAACCACAGTCAAACTTGACACAGTGTCAAGTCCCACAGGGCTCTTGGTTCTGGCTCCAGTAACACCAAGAAAGTAAACACTTTTGAGTTGAATCATGACTTTGAAGAATCTTGATATGAAGATTAAAATATTTTAAGTACTTTCTGAGGTAAAATTATTCCTTTTATTATATCTTTAAAACAAGAACTTAATGTATCCAAATGATCAAAAAGACAGTTTTGAAGAAATTGAGCTGTATTCAGAATGTGTACACCATGAACTAAAGTAACAAGTAATGATTAAAATGTAGTTCATTGTTGTTACATATTAGTTTCTGAAAATAATTTGTGTAAGAACTATATTGCAAAAGTTTGTTCACCAGGTCTTTTATTTTTAGACCTCGCATGTAACTGACTCAGAAATGTTGCTAGAGGAAGGCCCATCTGATGAGAAGGGGCACCCAGAAGAGAAGCTGCCGCTAGTTTCAAGAAAGAAGGCACATTTTGGAAGTTCGGACAATGTTGCTACTGTCCCAAATGAAGAACGATCTGACAGTGGTTTTCCAAACTCTGTAATAGCTGAATTGTCTGAAGAATCAATCTCTGAAAATTTATCACCCAACACTACTTCCTCATTGGAAGACCAGGGCGAAGAGGGGGTACCCGAACCCCAGGAAACATCTACAACTCTTCCTCAGAGTTCTTTGATAGAGGTTGAACTTGAAGATGTGCCATTTTCACAGAATGCAGGACAGAAGAACCAGTCAGAGGAGCAGTCTGAAGCCTCTTCTGAGCAACTGGATCAGTTTACACAATCAGCAGAAAAAACTGTGGATAGCAGCTCAGAGGAGATAGAAGTGGAAGTCCCTGTTGTAGACAGGCGGAATTTAAGAAGAAAGGCCAAAGGGCATAAAGGACCTGGTAAGAAGAAAGCCAAGCTCGCCTGAATGAAGAAATGTGGATGATAAATCCTCTTCTTTGTAACGTAATTGTTTTTAAAATATGGTAATAAATAGCACGGGGCACAGGACAAAAATTCCAAAATCTCAATTTGAACTTATTTATGATGCAGTTTTTCTCTCCCCCTTAGGACCTAGGATTCACCATTGTTTTTAATTTTTCAGGCTATTTTGTGTAAATACAGTTTTTTATTTTTATTAATCATGTTTCAATTTTGGGAAACCAGATCATACTATATTTTCTTTAGTAGTTGGGGACATCTGATCATTACTATTTCAGGAAATATAAATTAGAAAACTGAAAGTAGTAGACTTTCCATTACTTTTGGGGATCACAGAAATCTTTTACACTAAGGGTTTTAAATAGTAAACTTGGTGAGGGTTCTAGAAGTTTTAGCTTAAATATCAAACTAATCAACATTTTTTAAAATGTAGGCATGCCTAAACAAAAATATCAGTAAATTAGAATAAATATAATTTCAGCTAAATGAGAGCACAAATTATAGAAATTTATGGTCAAAGGTTTATGAGGGTGGTATTTTGGCCTCTCAGTTCATTGTTGTTGAGGATGCAGTTTCTTCCTTTGACTTCAATGTCTGAATAGGTACAAACTTTCTAACCCACTCTTTACAACATCTAATATTAACAGTACTGCTAGGGATTTAACTCTGGCATGTAGGTACTAATATCATTACTTAAATTTTTTTTTCTAAGTTGGGGATCATACTTTTGTCCTCACCTAGTGAACATGGATACTTCAGAAATATGAGAACCCTTCCTAAGACTTCTCTTTAATCCTGCCACTGCCTTTATTCTAGAATCTTATTTATATTCATTCCCCTCAGCTTTCATCCACTTCCCTAACACGTGGAGTGATTCCTGTCAAAAGATCTTCCTGCCTGCCTGCCAACTCATGCCCTTGGCATCCATTTCTGGGTAGGTATGAAACTTCACCCCACAATCTTAGAGCTGGCAGGAGTACAGCTGCCCTAAGACCTGTAGTTACCAGAGCTTAAATCAGGTTGGACACTTTGGTTGTCCCTTTGATCTTGCTTACTCTTAATTTGTTCTGAGAACAGGTTACAAGCCAGCCTGCTAATCGTGTTGCCATAGCAAAGGCCTTTGCCTAGGAAAAGGTTAAAAAAAATCCCTCGATTGTTAATTTTTATAATTTATTTAGAAATGAACAAAATGGTTGTTCTTAGAATCCAAAGAGAATCTCAAAACAATACTATTCTTTGAAGTATTATGTATACTCAGATGTGTATTTAAGGTGAAGAATGCTTTGAAACTACTTAGATTGTTTTTAAAACAACCTTGGTCCTTAATGAAAAAAATGTGTTAGGACTTTTTGTCATTATTTGAGGTGCTAAGGATTGATGTTGAGTTTTTTAGTCCAGTCGGGTAATGTCATTAAATTTTATTTTGAGATGATGGTATTTTAGGAATTTCTACATTAAAATCTTTTAAGCAGGCAAAATAGCAAACACCCCTATTTGTTGTAAAATTTGGAGTACTTGTATCCCCAAATTTTCTTTAATTATTGCTTGAGGTAAGCCAGAGTTCATGCTAAATGAAAATTATAGCACTTTTGCTATTTGGTTTCTCAAAAAAAAGTGCTAAATAAGTAAAAGAAAAAGTATTAGTAACACTAGTTATCAAATGTTCATGCTTATACATTTTACTAAAAAATTTGTTAAAATTACAAGTAGAAAAATGAAGATTTAAGATTTAGTAAGTTCTTGTTCTTAAACTTTTCATTTTTATTATAATAGATAAAAATCTAACATTTTACTTTATTTGGATTATTAATTTTCTTTAAAAAGGTGTAATTTAGGAAGATTGAGCTCACTGACAATGCTTGATGTGTAAATATAGTTGCTGAGTTTACAAAAAGAAATGTTTAGTAATTCATATTTGATTGCTATTCATATTTAACAGTATAAACTTGTTAAACATGTTTGGTTTATTCTTAAAAAAGAAGTGCATTTTAAGCAATTTAAAAACTTTTTTCCAGCACTCAAGAAAACTTGTTACATATTATCTCTAACAGAAAATGTTATTTTGGCATTTTCCTTGGTAAAGGAAAGTTGGGTCATATGGAAAAACCTGACTTTCACATTAACATGTTCATTTTCAGTAAATGAATTCTATAGTCAGTGAGTATAGAATTTATATCAAAATATATCATCAACAATGAAACTAAATTTCATCAGAATACTTAAAGTTTTTGCAAGGCATTAGAAAAACTTTCAGATTAGAGGACGGAAATCTGGTTTCAGCCAGCTAGTCTAGTCGCTAAGTGTCCAGTCACATCCTGTAGTCCTTTGTGAGCTGTTTTCTGTTTAGAGGTCTTATTCGTGGAGAAAGGAGTTCACTTCAGTTTGTGTAAATACATATATATTTCCTTGTGTAATATAAAGCAGACAGTTATCAAAATTTTAGTTGTACTTTTGTTTATTAAAGTGCTAGACATCACAGAAATAAGTATATTTAAGAATTTATTATAAAGCTCCTCTACAATTTTAAAGGTGAGAGGGTCTGTTGTGATTTTATATAAAATCAAATAGCATGAGAGAATATCAGTCATCTGCTTAAATTGTGTCTATATTCATGGTGTTCCCATTAAGCACAGAGAATTTCACAGGAAGGATAACAACTAGTGATTAATGGTTCACTTTTTGATGACCACCAGAACACTACACTACCTAAAATGGTTTCAGTGACTTTAGAAACATACTGGAGGTTTATGATTGCAGTAAATTGAGCAGCTACCAAGTGACTCATATTTGCTCTTATGTTCTGCTTCACCCTTAGGGATTACCTTCTAAAATTTGGTCACACCAGCAAACTGAAACAGATTCTTAATGTGTAAATAAAGAATTTATACTAACATTACTCATCTGTGTAACAGTATTTTACAATTTCTGCCTTGTATGTCCACTAACTTCAGTATTGTGTTTAAGGTGTTATCCAGTATTTTATGGGTGTGGTTAGTTATGCTTCTGTTTGCGTATTTACTATCAAGCTTTCTTTGTACAATATAGTTAACTTGCTTATTTTTGGTTCTAAAAAATAAGCAGACCTTAGTTCTGTAGTATCAAGTGCTTACCTTTAGTTGATGTTTTGTTTTCACCTTCCAAAACCTAAGTTATTTACACATTCCCCATTTCTATTACTGGCAAAATCATTTGTTAAAATCTAATTGTGAGAAAGGTTCAGCTTCTGTTTCCCTGAAGTAATTGTATTGTTATACTGGATAGTCATTCCCAAGGAACTAGCCTAGCCTTTCTTTTCCTAAGTGTCTGTATTCTAAAACTTACACTGTTTATAGAATTTAGAAAAGGTTATATTACATTATTCAGAATAGCAAGTCTTACTGAAGTATTCGTTTGTTTTCTTGATAGTTTTTTTTTCTTTTAAGTTTAAATAGTAATTAAACCTATATTTTGTGATTGTTTCTGGTGTGTTTTGAAATTCTTTTTCTTTTCCATAATTTCATTGATGTTTAGATACTTAATTTGTTTAGACATTAAAATGATTTTGTTAAAGGCACAGTTAATCACACTGTTGTACCTTTAAGACAGACTTTAAAAAATAAACCAAATTTAAAACAATGATTATAGATTAATATAGACACCCTATAATAAAGCCACAAACATATAATTCATATCACAAAAGTGCTTTGACCTAGTTATAATGCTAACATCTTTTTTATGTTATATGTGACTATCAATATATTTCCCTTAAAGGATCATTTTTCCTGAAATTATTTAAACAAATATTTCCAGTTCTGAAAATATACTACCTTAAGTTTAGAACATAGAAAATGCTCAAGTATAAACATTTTGGTGTTTTTTCATGTTTCAAATAGAAAACAGTTCTGAGTAAGTATTATTATAAATGATGAAAGAAGAAAATTTTTAGAATACTAACTACTGATTTAATGTCTGAAGTTAAGAATTATAGGTGAAAAGATTTATCTAAGTACTTCTGAATTCGATTTAGTGTAATGTACCTTTTCTTGTGTATCTTTAATGTGAATACTTTATAAAGGTAACAAACATTACCAAGTGTGTTAATGCTACAGTTCTTAGGATTAATGATGAATAATGAGGTTATAGATAGACTTTTACAGCCTAGACCCCATACTAAGTGCGCACTCTTAGGATAAAAGGTATTTTCAACTACACTGGCTTTTCCAGAAATGACAGATACTGATGAAACAGGATATTGCTTAAACTGCTTTTTTTTTTTTACCATTTAATTTCATGAATAGCTAAATGATAAACAGACCCAAAGACAAATACCAATTAGTAAAACTGGGCCATTTTAATGTTCTTTACAATAAAACAGTTCTCCTGATGACTGCAAACATGTAAGCCATTGTAATAACTGAAGTATGCAGAAACATCACAGTCACATCTTCCTGATTGGTGCATAGTCTTCCAATAATTACAGGGAGTTACTTGTATGAAACTGCTGTCAAACCAGTAAGACTGCATTTATACATCCATCATTCTCAGGATTATTGGTAACCTGGGCATATTTTCCTAAGGAAACAAAATGGAGAAAAAGAGAAATATTAGCTAATAAAAATTTTAAAGAATATATTGTTCCCAATATTTCTAACTTATCACTTTTAGGAGCTATAAAACATATTCTTCCCTTTCTAAGAATAATAAAGTTTAGACATATCTGGGCACTAAAAGCAAACAATAAGAAAATGAGGGGAAAAAATTATAATTGCTACATGACACATTTCAGTTTTTAATTATTGCTGAAATAGTGTGGCTGTTTGATGTATGTTCCCCTCCCTCACTCATGGTTAATTTATTTTATATTCTTCCAATATTTTTTAGTTATAAGCACATCTCTACATTTGCATATACATCCCTCATAATTAATGCTTCTTTAAACAAACAGCATCAAAATCTAGCAACGCAGTACACTGCATAGCTCAAACCAATGAGCTAAATTAAAAAGCATTATATTCAAAACTACTTTTTCTACAAAAAGTATTCTTTCTAAAAGTTTAAATCTGATTTATACCAAGTTTTAACTTATCTAGCTCTTATGCATTAAGATTTGCTGGGTACTTTATGTCAACTTGAAAATTTCTATTTTCAGGCTTAGAAAAGTAACACCCCCATACTAAAAAATTTACTTACCCCAAATAACCTTGCCTCCTTGTGTCACAAGGCCCAACTCGCTTACATTCACCTCGATGACAGTACCTTTGGTAATAACACCCAAAGTTGTATAAAGTGGGGATGAGGGATTCTTCTTTACACCAAGTATTGGCAGGCAAAAGGTGGCTTTCAGTTCAGGATGTGTTACATGGGCCTTCTTGAAACGTAAACCCTAGTAAGTCAAACACAAGAATGTTAAAAGAGTCCAAAATGTTAACTACGAGTAATAATTTTTTTGTTTTGCTTCTCTTTTTCCAATAGCCTCAAAAACAAACAAAAAACCCCAAAACAACATGTATTAATGTAAACTCTGAAGGCATCAAATAAAAATACTTACTAAAAATCTGAGTTACAGGATAAATATAATTCTCCCTATTTAAAAACAACAACAAAACTAGGATTAGCAGGTTAAAGGACTTGTTCCCAGGTTACATGGTGTATGGATGGAATCAAACTTTAAACATGATGATTCCAAGTCCATGGTCGTATTTCTTCCATGATAAGAAAGCAAGCAGGTGGTCAGCTTTCTTTACACTGATGGTAACACTGGTCGCAGACTGGAAGATTCCAGAGGAGTCTGTTACAAGAGACCATAGTCACCTAGTAACGCAGATAGGATCTTTGGAATGTAGCACATTAAAAAACCACAACACTTTGCAGTCTCTTAAATATGATAATTACTTATATATATCGGGCAAAAGATACTAAATCAAGTTCTTAGTAATGCAGTCATTAATCAAGCTGGTAAAAAAAACTGTACCATTCAGAATGCCATCTGATTAATTCACATTAAGATATTCACACTAAGATATATCTATATCTATATCTATATCTATATCTATATCTATATCTATATCTATAGCTGTCCAGCTACTGAAAGCCAAGAAGAGCTGGTCTGGTATACGCTGTCCCTGTAGAACTTGATAAGGCTACCAAACTGTAAATGATTATGAATATGAAATCAAAACAAGGGAGTCCATGATGTAATCTAGTGCTGAGTGGACATTTCCTGTAAATAACCAGACAATGAACATTTTAGGCTTTGCAGGCCATATGGTCTCTTGAAACTACTCAAACTGAGCAGGAAAAAAACTGCCACGGACAATGTGTAAATGAACACGCATGACTGTGTTCCATAGAACTTTACTGACAGAGATAAGCTGTTTGACATTTTAATCCATTAAAAATTTATTTAGAGCTTTTTTTATGAGAAATTTATTTATGAGAGCTTGCGTAACACCGCCAACCTTCTTCTCTGATTCTTTGTTTCTCTAAGCAGGCTGGATATCCAGTTGGGAGAATAATTCAGGCTGTTTAAAGGATTTTGCAAAAATGTATCTTAAATTATATTGGGTGGGGGACACTGGTTTTGACCATTGTTGCTATCAATATCAACAGAAAGTAAAGCCCCACTTTTACACTAAATTCTCTTTTTGCAATGATTACATACTGAATGTTTTCAAAAGCATTACTACTTTCCTTCTTGAACCAGAATTGACTTGAACAAAGACCTACTCAGGTTTTTAAATCTTCTTAGACAAGTCATTAGGCACTTGTATAGTAGAACACCTGTATGGTAGAATATTTATTGAATGAGTAAAATGACTTCATTTGGAACATAAAGATACTAATACATCATTTTTAAAAGTCAAGATTTACTGACAATGTAATGAAAATTCTTTTTTGTCTCAAATCACTTATGAAGGTGAAGATAAGATTTTTCATGGTACAGGAAAGTCCTAAGTAATACCTACCACTAACTTAAAATACCAAAAATAGCCTTAAAATGTCTTTCAACCTGTTTTTCATATCAATGTAGGAATTTCAGGAAATTGCAATGTACTTTATCTTGTTTAACAAAGGAACTAATATTGAAGCCACTGCACTCTTGCAAGGGACTTACCATTGGTCTAATGAATCTTTCATATTTAGGTGGTTTTCTAGTAAAGCCATCTCCAACAAAGCACACTTTAGTAACCATCCTCTTCCATGCTTTTTTCTTTCTCTTTCCTGTTCGAATAACTTTTAATACCTCTGTTTCTCCCTGGGCACGAACTTTGGGCAGAGGGACTTCCCATTTTCCCTAAAAATAACCACAGTTAAAATTTATATTGTTAGTAAAAGACAATGAGGACTTCAGGTCAAGATGGAGGTGGAGATAGACACGCTTCACCTCCCCACACAACCACAGATTTACAACTAGGCCTCAAAACAACACCCAGAACCATCAGAAAACAGAGCAATACAGAAGTCAGACAACCAAGGATATAAAGGCACATTCATCCAGACAGGTAGGAGGGGTGAAGATGTGGTGTGGTTTGGAGTGGCAGCAGAGAATGGGCAGTCTCTCTCTCTCTCTCTCTCTCTCCCTCACTCTCACTCTCTCTCTCTTACACGCACACACACACGCGCGCACACACACACAGAGTAGATAAAAATCAGGAGGGGTACCTTGGCAGTGAGCTACCCCAGCCCTAAGCCAGACTGCACAGCTCAGGTTTCCCACTCCAGGAAGATAAATCCCTGTAACTTCTGGCTGTAAAAACCAGTGGGGGTTGGGATGGTGGAAGAAAATCCAGATTTTCAGGAGACCCTGCTTAAAAGGCCCACATAGACCTAGAACACACGCAGACCCGGTCCCTCAAATTCACCAAGGCAACAGCAGGAAGGGCACCAGTCACTTATGGGGAGTAAATGAAATGACTGGAAACGGTAAGTGCCAGGCAAACCTCCAGAAGCCAGGCAGCAGCACTGCCCCCTTTCTAAGCCCTCCCCCAACACAGTGCCACAAAGTAGTCAAGCAGGTAGCCCTGCCTTGGCAATTACCTAAGGCCCCACCCCACACGTTTACAGGTGCCCGTTCTACAATAGGCCACACCACTAAGACAAGAAGTCAAACTCTATCTTATACACAAAACAAACAGGGAGGCTGCCAAATTGAGGAGACCAAAAAATAAAGCCCGAACGAAAGAACAAAACTCCAGAAAAAGAACTAAACAAAACAGAGATAACCAACCTATCATATGCAGAGTTCGAAACACTGGTTATCATGATGCTCAAAGAACTCACTGAGTACAGCAACAACATAAACTCCAAAAGAAATGAAGGTTACACTAAGTGAAATAAAGAAAAATCTACAGGGAACCAACAATGGAGGGGATGAAGCCGAGATTCAAATCAACAAATTGGAACATAAGGAAATAAGCATTCAACCAGAACATCAAGAAGAAAAAAGACAAAAAAAATATGAGTATAGTTATAAGGAGCCTCAGGGACATCCCCAAACACACCAACATCCGAATCATAGGAATGCCAGAAGAAGAGGAAAAGCAAACAACTGCAAACTTATTTGAAAAAAATAAAGAAAATTTCCGTAATTTGATTAAGGAAATAGACACTCAAGCCCAGGAAATGCAGAGAATCTAAAAAAAGTTGGACCTAAAGAGGACCATACCAAGACATCAATAATTAAAATGCTAAAGGTTAAAGATCAAGGATCTTAAAAACAGTAAGAAAAAAAGCAGAGTTACCTACAAAGGAGTTCCCATAAGACTGTCAGCTGATTTCTCAAACTTTGCAAGCAAGAAGGACTGGCAAAAAGTGTTCAAAGTAATGAAAAGCAAGGACCTATAACCTAGATTATTCTATCCAGCAAACCTATCATTTAGAATTAAAGGGCAGATGAAGTGCTTCCCAGATAAGGTAAAGCTAAAGGAGTTCATCATCACCAAGCCATTATTACATGAAATGTTAAAGGGACTTATTTAAGAAAAAGATCAAACTATGAACATTAATAGGTCAACAAATTTACAACGGTCAATAACTGAATCTGAAAAGACAAGCTAAGCAAACAACCAGAACAGGAATAGAATCAGATACACGAAAATCATTTGGAGGGTTATCAGTGGGGAGGGAGGAGGAGGAGAATGGGGAAAAAGGTGCAGGGATTAAGCATAATTGATAGAAGACGGACGGGGGCATGCTGAGAAGAGTAGAGGAAATGGAGAAGCCAAAGAACTTATATGCACAACCCATGGACATGAACTAAGGGGAGGATGTGTTGCTGGAGGGAATGGTGGTACCAGGCAGAGGGGGCAAAGGGGGAAAAATTGGGACAACTGTAAGAGCATAATCAGTACAACGTGTTTTTTGAAAAATGAGAAAAAGTCAAGTATGTTTTAGTTGTATAAAGAAGTAATTCACTTTTTTCCTTAACCAACAAGATTTTGGCTTCAATTGTTTTCTAGAGGTCTGCACTGTCTTCTCACAAACCCTCAAATAATTGAAACTAATTTACTATACATCATAGGTACATTAAATAAAATGGCTTGCTTAAACTAAAAATCTTAATCCCTTATTATGGATGAAAAATACTACATGTAATAAGGTGGTGACTCTCAAGGCAGTGTATGTGCTTAGTACTAAGTAGTTAAAAGTGTAAAACTAGAAGTGTGTCTCCACCTTTTAACATATCTGTATTTCTACCTCAAGTGGATTTTTAGATTATATTACTAGTAGGACAAAATCATCACCAGATATTTTCTACTTCCTTAAAATGCAAATTCTACAAGGAAAAACTGAAGCAATGCAAGCCAGTAGCAAAAATTCCATATTTATTATTAACACATAGGTTCTAGAGGATATTCCACACTTCATAGATTCATGACTGTGTAGAATGATTTACAACCTCCTGGACTTGGTCTCTTCATCTAAAATGAGGAAGGGTAAACTAGAATGTTTCTTTTAGTGGTGAAGTTCTAACACTCTAATTTTGAATAATTACACACCAATAAATAAGCAGTACCATTTTAAAAATCAAATTTGGAGACTGTAAGGTCTTTAAATATAGTTACCACATATTTTGCTGCTACCTGGACTTCTGTCGATCTGTCCACAGGTGTTTAAAAAATAGTATCTAGGCCCTTTTTGTTGTTTTCAGTGCAATCCAGAAATATTTTTTTAAAACTGAATTTTTATTTAAGTTCAATCACTTGAGGCTGTTTTCCACCATCCAACTTTTTGACCAGTTTTGACATACTGCAGGACAGCATAAACAAGAAGCAGTTGTACCTTTCACAACAGCACGGCATTAGCTATCAAGTATAGGAAGCTATTAAAATACTAAATTTGAGATTTGCTGCTTGCTTTTTGTTTTTAAGTACTTTTTTAAAAATCTAGAGATAAGAGCCCTGGCTGGCGTAGCTCAGTGGATTGAGCGCAGGCTGCGAACCAAAGTGTCGCAGGTTCGATTCCCAGTCAGGGCACATGCCTGGATTGCAGGCCATAGCCCCCAGCAACTGCACACTGATGTTTCTCTCTCTCTTTCTCCCTCTATAAAAATAAATAAATAAAATCTTTAAAAAAATTAAAAAAATAACATTAAAAAATTTTAGAGAGAAGTGGCTTTCTAATAAAATTAAAAAAAACACCCCCTCCCATTAAAAATTAAAATGTGCTAGTTGATGAAAAAGCACTTTTACTGACTTCAATATCTTAGTGGGGAATATGGTAGTTGGACTTCATATTTCCAATTAAATTGGAGAAACAAAGAACGCCAAGTTTGAATTTAAGTAATTCTCCTGAACAAAAAAGAAATAAAGATTTTATTATTTTATTGCTTACCGCTTTCTCTTTTCGTTTTTGTTTAATCATATTGGAAAGTACTTTAGCTCGGGACTGTCCCTCTCTGTCCAGTAGATAGGCAGGTACTGCTCCTTGAGGCGTCTTTTCATCATTCTTTTGTTTGGTGTTTCTCTTTTCATGCATCTTGATACTACCAAGGACAAAAGATTATAATTTTTAATAACTATCACTCAAAAGATGTTAACTTGCTACAACAAATAAATGATCACTTACGTCTTCTTCATTTGTATTTTCTCAGCATGGCGCTGTTTATGGTAGAGCTTAGCCTTCAGACCAATCATCTTTTTTGCCTTCTTTGAACGTTCATGAGCCTCTCGACCTTCCTTTTTTCTCTTTTTCTCGTGGTAATCCAAACGATATCCATAGCGCTTACGGTGTAACTCAATATACTCGTTTTGTGGCTATAAAGATGCAAGAAACATTAATTTCTTTTGAGCAATGTGTGAAGCATAGAATACCACGTATCACCGACATGTTCTCTCCCTTAAATAACTCTTCTAGTATTAGGCCTATTCACATGATGTGTGTTAAATAAATTTTGATCCTTGATGATATGAGGCATCAGGATCTACATCTAATAATCTCAGTGAAAGTTACTGAAGGGAACTGTCCAAAATCCACTGAACTACAAAAGGCATGATCTGATCCAGGATCTCATACAGTTGTAGGTTTTGACACTGTACAACTGTTTAACCACCAAAATCAAGATAGAAAATATTTTCTTCCCTCCAGGAAGCTGCCTTGTGTCAATTTTAGGTTAATCCTCTTTTGCCAATCTGATTTCTAGCTCTAAGTTTTGCCTTTCCCAGAATGAAATTGAAGTCGAATCTGTAGTATGTAACTTTTTGCATCTAGCTTTTCACTTGGTGTAAGGGTTTTGAGATTCCCCATGTTGTTGCATGACATTATTCCTTTTTTACTGTCAAGTAGTATTACACTGTATGGATATACCACTATTTGTTTACCCAAGGAGAAGTGATGGATATTTGGGGTTCCACCCCCCAGCCCGAGTTTTTAATGAATAAAAGGGCACATGTGTCCATTTGGACGTATGCCAGCTGTTTTCCAAAGTGGCTATACTATTTTGCATTTCACCAGCAATAAACGAAATCCCTTTTGCTTTTAAAGTGCCTGTTTTATATGTCAGTTTTGGTTTACTTTAAACACGCAGCCCCAGTCCATTTGTATTTTAATACTGTAAAGATAAAATTATGATACAAAGCAACTCCATCACGGAGAATAATTCTAAAACAATCAAGATAGTATGTATAGCAAGTTTTCAACTGCTATCACATAAACTTTACGGCAACTATGTGAAAGTTATGTGGAACGTCATGTTGCAGAGAAACAGATGTAGAAGAAAAGATCTGGCAGTCAGAACTAGGCTGTGAGCCAGACTACGCATTTCATTAGATGCTTGGCCCGTGCCCTCAATTTCCTCAGTAAAAAAATGAGGTGTCAGTGGGATTACTGCCTACAATATAGGGTTATCGTTAGGCTCTGGGACCAATGGCCACGCAACACGTGGCGAAACCAGGAATTTAAGAGTGAAACCTGTCTCGCTCTCAAACTTGTGCTCTGGCAAACGCCCCATTCTGTGTCCCCAATGTGAAGTTTTTCCATTCCAAGGAGCCGACCTTTCGAAGTCTATCCTCATTCCCTTCAGCAGTACCTCACTTCCGCCTACCACGCCTCGCCCCCCACTCCAGAGCCTGGGGACCCTAGGCCCCACGGAACGCCCTATTTAACCAACGCCCGAGGCAACCTCCTCACCATGGTTACGGCAGCTGGACTGCCGGGTGCAGTCCTCCGCGCGTTTAGAAGCGGGCAACTTTCGGGTCTCAGAGACCCACGATCCAACTCACGCGCCCCGCGACAGGAAAGGAATACTTCTATGAGGACCGTCTCCAGTGAAAGCGCGGCATACTGGTTCCGAGTTTCCGTTCTCCGCCTCTAGCGTGAAGGGCGGAAGTTGCTGGCAGGAGGTATTTCAGTGGTGTACCGCCGGAAGTGGTGCGTTTTCGCGTAGCTTGGCGGCCAGAGGGGGCAGAAGTGAGAAGGTATAGGTTCGGTTCTGGAATAACCGGGACGTTCGCAGAGGTAGGCGGACGTTGCAACTTGAGGCCTCTGCAGACTGTCGAGCTGCCACGACCTGTCGCTCTCCACAGCTTGTAGAGAGAAAGCCGGCCTCCGGGATGCGATTCAGTGTCAGGTGGGTACCGAGCCGCCCGGTGCGACTCCTGCGTGCCTAAGACCTTGCCCTGCCTTGGGTACCGCTGACCTTCAAGGATGCAACAGATCTTACACCATCAGGTGTTAAGCAACTTTTAGTGAGCACTTAAATATTTTCCAAGGCCTAAGGAAGCCTCGGCCTTATACAATAACTTAGTTGATAGCACCAGTAGGAAACCATTCCTTGAAGTTCGTTGACACATAGGGAAGAAGAAAATCACTGCAGGGCTGTAAATGACTATAGGTAAAAAAAAAAAAAAAAGTTTGATGCATTGTGCTGGGCACTGTTACTAGGAGATCCCTCCTTTTCGGGAGCTCACAGTAATGGGGATAACTTGTAAATACCATGTTTGTCATGAGTAAATACGAATCGAAGTATTCTAAAAACACAGAGAAGGTAGCGTTAAAACTTTCTAGGAAATTAGGAAAGGCTTCCAAGCTGGGGCTTGGAGAATGAATAGAAATTTACAAGGTAGGGCGATTTGGGGGTTCTGGGATGCTTGCAGGCAGTGGCAACACGCAGCGGTGTAATGGTGTCAGAGCCTGGTGTTTCTGGGGAATTTTGGCTAGAGCTCCCCAGTATAGAAGAGGGAATAGGAGAGTACAAAAACTGAAGGTAGTTGGGGACAGATTTGGCATGTTAAAAACCTTAAGTAGGAAAGTGACAAGATGTTTATGAAGGATATATGTAATCCATACTAAAGCAGTATTAAAGCAGTATTTCCCACTTTAGTGATTTGAGTACCTCTTTTTAAGACTGGTGATAGCTGAATGTCACTTGCTGTTATTAACTTATGGTTTCCTATAAATTAATTCACAGTTTTGTGTAAATTAATTTAACTTCATCTTAAACAACATTGCCTATAAAATCACAGGTTTTGTTGGCTATTTTTCCTAATATTTATTTAGTAAGCAATTTTTTTTTGGTATATAACTTAAACTAATCAGGGGCATTCTCTTTGGGAAACATGGTGTTGGAATAAGTTTTTCAAAATTGTTGGTCTGTAGGGTCCCTTCACACTCTTAAAAATGATTCAGATCTACAGAGAGGTTTGTTAATGTGGGTTGTAATTGATATTCAAGTATTAGAACTTAAAACTTTAAAATATTTTAGTCATTCATTGAAAAGTAAATAAATCTATTTAATGTTAATGTAAGTAATATAGCTTTATGAAAACTGCCTATTTTTCAAAACAAATATAGTTTGAAGAGTGTTTTACATTGCATTACAGTTTTGTACAATAAATCTCCTTAATGTCTGGCTTAGCAGAAAACAGCTGGCATTTCATACTTGCTTCTGTATTGAATATGTTACTGTGTATCTTTTTTAAAAAGTTTTTGGTTGAAGTGTAAGAAGAAAATTCAGCCTCATACACACATGGATATGTGGTTAGAAAAGGAAAGATTATTTTAATAACCTTTTCCAAAAATTGTAGAACATCTTAGATGCTGTACCTGGCTTTGACAAGTGGTAGTTTCTTAAAGGTTAGTTGTATGTGGAATCAAACCACATTACTGAGCTTTTATTGTTCCGTTATGTTAGAATCCACTATTCTTGTTTAGAATAGATCTAACGTGCACGATTTTGTAAACATCTTGAACTTCAGCGTTAGAAATGAAGAGGGAATGGAGTCAAGATATACAGGGTCTGACAGAAGTAAGGCCTGCTTGAGTGTGGTTGGTAGGATAATAATATGGTGTAATAATTTATAGTTTTAATGTGAATATTTCACCTAAAATGTCACATGGTGTGCTTGAGTGTGATATTGTTATGTTACAGAATTACATGCTTATGTTTTTTTTTAAAGATTTTATTTACTTTCAGAGAGAGAGGGGGAGAAACATTAATCGGTTGCTTCTCCAATGCCCCCAACCGGGTACCTGGCCCAGAACCTAGGCATGTACTTTGACTGGGAATAGAACCGGTGACCTTTCGGTTCCCAGGCTGGTGCTCAATTCACTAAGCCACACCAGCCAGGGCTGATTTTGTCATAAAAAATTTTGTAATAAAAAGGGGGCATTATTTGTGCTGGACCCTGTATTTAGGAAATAAAAAGGATTTGGTGACTTCCTGAATATGGACAGTGATTGTTTTAGTCTTAAGACACAGGGGGAAAAAAGCAAATTTAAGAGGAATAATAATGAGTTTTGACATGACTTCTTACATAACATTGGGCACAATGGTTTAACCATGTTTATTTACTTTTCTCCCCATCGACTCAGATGCTTCTATTTCTCATTGCTTTGATAATGAACTTGAAACATAGTGAATATTTAGTAAATGTTCTAAAACTGAAGTTGCTTAGTTTCTGTGATCATAGAAAAAGAGGACTTGCTGTTGTGTGAGTGTGTATATATTTTATTTCAAATTATAAAGAAAGCTTATTTAGAAAGTTACAAAGGTAGTAGAAGTAAGCCGGCCAGGCTGTGTAGGCTCAGGAAACAAGTTACTGAAGCAAAAGAGAGGCCCTTGGAGCTCAGGAGAGAGAAGGGCAGAGGTGACATGCCTGGTGGGAAGAAGAGGGGACGGGAGAGGCACGGGCGTGCTCCCCAGAGGGAGAGTGCCGCTTTTGTATATTTTGGACATGATTTTATTTTTGCATATTTATGGTATAAAAGTCAGAATATATAGATAAATCAAAAAGTTACATTACCAATGAGAAATTACCAACATATAGATGCTTGCTTACCCTCCTATACTTAATTCTATACATTTACATAAAATTTTGGTTGACATGATATATTTTTATAATTTCAAAACATCTGTTTCTTCAAAACATCATATCTTGAGGAATTAAAGCATGCTGAAAAAATACAAGGGACATTTTAAGCTTGGAATCATTTTTCATGTTTAGTCAGAATTTCTACTTTCTGAACAATGCATTGTTTTTGATAGCTAAAAATATTGTTCTTTTTAAAAGTAATACATTTTTACAATATATATTACATATGCTTTACTTACATGTGTTATTGACATGTAATATGTAAACTTAGTTTTATAATTTCGTATTTTTCTTTTTCAGAGAGTAACAGTTTAGAAGGCCAAGATGTCTAATTTGAGGATATTTGCAGTGAATCATAAGAAAATATCTAGCTTGCACATTAATGTAAGTGTTTTTGTAAAATTAAATGTACTTCAACAACTTCAGTTACTTTACTTCCCAAAAGGCCTACTATGTATGTGTATATACACACATACACACACGTGTATACACACATACGTGTGTGTGTATTAATCTGTCTTTATCTTTAGCAGTTCTTGATAGGTAAGGGAGGATCTGTAACCAAGATGAGTTATGCCTTATCATTAGTTTATAAATTCATTTTGCTGCTTTAAAATCACCTGTGCAAAGCCCTGGCTGGCGTAGCTCAGTGGATTGAGCGCGGGCTGTGAACCAAAGTGTCGCAGGTTCGATTCCCAATCAGGGTACATTCCTGGGTTGCAGGCCATGACCCCCAGCAACTGCACATTGATGTTTCTCTCTCTCTCTTTCTCCCTCCCTTCCCTCTCTAAAAATAAATAAATAAAATCTTTTAAAAAATTTATAAAATCACCTGTGCAGCAAGCATTTTGAAGACTATTTCTGTATTCCATTTGGAAGTCATTAGTGGCCCAAGGAATTACAGTTTTTCTTCAGTGTTTTCATTGCTGCCGCTTTCAGACCTTACACCCTGTCTTACCTTGGTGGAAATTTTAATAGCTTTGAGCCTCTTCTTTATTCTTAACATATTTTCTTAGGATACTAGTTTTTTGTTGCTAGAAACTTGGTAACTAATGTAGAAATAATATAGAAGGCACATGCATGCATTCTGAGATAATATAAAAAGCAATTTGTGGCAACCCCATATCATTACATATACTAACTGTAACAATTCCAAATATAATGTCAGCCATTAAATATGTATCTAGTGCCCTGGCTGGTGTGGCGCAGTGGACTGAGTGCCAGCCTGTGAACTTAAAGGTCACAGGTTCGATTCCCAGCCAGGGCACATGGCTGGTTGTGGGCCAGGTTCCCAGGTGGGGCTGTGCAAGAGTCAACAGATCTGTGTATCTCTCACACATCAGTGTTTCTCTCCTTTTCTTTCTTCTTCCCTTCTATAAAAATAAATACTTTTTTTTTTTTCTTACAAAAGTGTATCTAGTGATCTAGGGATAAATTGGGTTGGAGAATATTCATCCTCTATGTGGTAATATTAGAAGATACCTGGGCAGCTTTTTAAAATGCCAATTTCTTCTCCCCCTACTCCAAATGTTTTTTAAAAGCCTTGGAGGTGTTTCTAACGTGTAGCTACTGTTGTAAATCCTGAAAACAGCAGATGGTTTTAGAGTTCATGACTCCCACCAGCTCTCAGTAGCTGTAGAGGAGAACCTAGCAGTATCCAAGGTGAGATCCTTTTTTAACCTTTATGAGTCTCTGGAAACTTCAGAATCTTGGTTCCCAAACTGTAGTTATCAGAGTCACCTGAGAGCCTGTTAAGACACATGTTCTGCCCCATCCCCAGAGTTTCTGACACTCTTGTTTGGAGTGGGTCCTGAGAACATGTCTCTCTAATAAGTTCCTGTGATACTAATGCTGCAAGTCTAGGAGAATCAGCATGTAAAGTCGGCTCAAAATAGCAAACTAGTATTAATTTTATCCTTTTTCTTTCCTGTGGTGTAATTTGGATTGTCACTTTTAAAAAGAATTGGAGTTAATAGATGGACACTGTTTAAAAGACATTCACAGTATTTTGTCCTCTGAGAATGCATAGTTACAATGTTAAAATTACTGTAATAAGTCATACTAACATAAAATTAATGTTGTGTCTTTTTCTCCTCACTAGAATATGTATTGCTCTAGAATTACATCAAGTTTAAAAAGAATAAAGACACACGTGCCTCTTGGAAGAAATTACAGTTCCCTGCCAGGTATTACTGCTAGATTCTCCTCGTTTTACTTAAACTGTACTTGCTTTCTTCTCTTTGCTTCTCCTCTCCTCCCTGTCCTCTCCTCCCCACTCCCCGCCTCTCCTTTCCCTCCTCTTCCTGCCTTATCCTCCTCTCCTGTCCCTCTTTTCCCCCCCTCTCCTTTCCCTTCTCCCCTCTTCCTCTCTCCCTTTTTTCCTCTTCCTCCTTCTTTCTCTCCTCCATCCAAATCTCTCTCTCATTTGTAAGCATCTCCCTTATTAGGGGGCTCCAGCCATTTTGGAAATAGTGACTCCTTTTACTCCTTGGCTATTTCTCTGAGATGATTAGGAATTGGGTGTATTCTGATAGATGCCAAGAGGGAATACCAATAGACTTATTATGCTCCTCATCTGCTGGCCATCTTGAGGAGCTGAATGAAGGAGAGGGTTGAGTCAGTTTTAGTAGCTGGCTCAAAAGTTTAGCAGGTGAGTCTACTTGTAGATTGCTCTTGCTATACATTGATTTTGTAGTCCATTTCTGGTTTTTATACAAAAGTATTTTCTGTCAATAGAAGTTTACCAGATAATTTATGTTGAAGACTCTTGAGAACATAGTTTGGTTAAATAGTTATCTGGGGTAGTTTAGGTTAGATATTATAGCTATTAAAAGCTGAAAGCAAGAGAACCTGCCAATTCTGAACGTTCTTGCTTTGTTTGAAGTGAGCAAGCATGTGGGAGACTCGATGAAACTAGTCTCATTCTTTTACTGTTCTCATTACTATCTTTGTTATGTGAGAAAAATGGTGTAAAAATACTGATTGTCTTTGTGACTTGTGAGGGAATGTGAATTTAATGGCCTGGCCTGCATTATCGGTGTGTATCTAGGTTTTTATATTTTGCTCATGAAGTTTTATCTGTAGCAGTACAGATTATTTTTCATCTTCAAACCTCCATGAGGTTTCCAAAATATAATAGAACTCTTGATTTATTATAGAGATTTGGGAGAACTGATTTAAATAGCAGGAAGTTATAGATTACACTTATAAATATAACAGCATTGTTGCTGTGATAGTTTTAATAAAATACATGTTAAGCATGGAGTAAGATAGATACTGTGGACTTTTTTAAGTCCAGAAATACTACTTGGCCTTTTAGAAGTATTAGATTATTGTAGCTTCTGTTCACTAGTGTCTTTCAGCCTGACTTTAAAGGTGTTGTGTCCCTGGGAGTGCTGAAGGAAGGGTGGGTTCCAAACTGTGCAAACATTCATTGTCAGCTGATCCTGGGATCCCTCTTAGCTCTTTAAGCCTTGACAATGCAGGATCACAGGACTGTGCATTTTATATTTTTCTTTGGCTCCAGATATAATGTCTTGAGATTATTTTTATGAACATTAACTCTAATTCTACACTTCTATTATGGAATTGTGGAAGGTGGCAGAGATTGGGGTAAATATATTTTTCTAAGGCTATGATCTAGAAATTGATGTTTAAAAACTTTACCTTAATGTTTTATTGTCATCCATAGCTGTTTTTTAGAGATTATAGGAAAATAAATTTTCAGTGAATGAGACTTACTTAGCTTGGGTTTATTTAATTTAGAATTATAGTATTTGCTTAAAATTATTTTTATTTCATCTGTATGTTAAAGGAAGATTTCTTAAACAGTTTATTTTTAATCCTCTTTCTGTTAGGTTTAATAGGAAATGATATCAAATCTCTTCATTCCGTCATCAGTCCCCCTGTAGCTAAGTAAGTATTATCTTTCCACGGACATTGTCTTCTCCATTGGCTGCCACAAAAAGTTCCAGGTTTCTTGAGTGGGCTTTATTCAGCATTGTTAGCGAATGCCCTAATTTCTGTAACTTTTTGCCTTGCCTTATTATAAATACATGTTGGTATGTATCTAAAAGCTATTTTCTTTTCATAATTGAATGATAAAAATTTCAGTGTAGTCACAGTACACTTTGCATAGAAATAAATATAAGGTATTCACAAGATTGTAGTTAGCTCTTTCGTTACTTATTTTGTTGGAGTACTGTCGTAGTGATATATGTTTTCCAGTTTTCTAGTTTTTACACCATTATATAAATTATTGAAATACTAACCAGCTTCACAATTTGCACAGCATAGGTATTTGGGTTTTACAATTTTAGTCATGTTCACCTTATGATACATGTCTTTTTTTCTCTATTTTAAACAGGATCCGTAATATTGGAATTATGGCTCATATCGATGCAGGCAAAACTACCACCACAGAAAGAATACTGTACTATTCTGGATACACAAGATCATTGGGAGGTTAGAATGGATGGATTCCTCCTTTCTGTACCCCCATTAGCAAAAACATCATGGGAAAATATTTTGAGTAAGAAGTCAACCTAGAGATCTTGAGTATGGCATGGAGGCACTAATGTCTAAACCACAACATAAAAATTAGTTGCAGCACCCACCAAAGGGTCTTTCTAGTTTCAACTAAACATTCAGACTCATGAGACTGTCTTAGGCCACACTGGGTACTGCTCTACTTACCCTGTAGCACAGGAACCCTAACTTACCAGCAGACCAGCAACAGGTGTTTCTTTCTGTAGGAGTTCTTATAGTAGCCGACATGGCTATCTAGGAACTATCCTCTGTGACTAGCCAAAAGTGATAGCTCAGCTGCAAGGTGTCAAGTTTCTCAGGAGTCTCCCTGGCTTAGAAGACTCATGCCCCCTAGAGATGAATATCTCTTGTTACAGCTCCATGGACTATCGTCAGGGCTTCCCACAAGGTATGTGCCGTGCGCCCCTCAGGGAAACCTAAAGCTGTGTATCTCCATCAGGTATTTATAATTCATTTATAGTTCTTCCCAATTCAGATGTAGCTTACCAGACTTTTTTCCATAAGAAGTGTTGCCTTGCCCTGGCTAGTGTGGCTTAGTTGGTTGGAGCATCATCCAATACACCAGAAGGTTGGCGGTTTGATTCCTGGTCAGGGCACACACCTAGCTTGTGGGTTCGATCCCTGGTTGGGGCGTGTATGGGAGACAACCATCGATGTTTCTCTCTCACATCAGTGTTTCTCTGTCTTTCTCCTTTCTGCTTTCTCTAACCTCAATAAACATGTTACATTTTTTTTTAAAAAGAAATACATTTAAAAAAAGATGTGTTGCCTAGCTACATAGTTGACGTGCTTCTGTTTTCTGATTTCTAGAAGATAAGAACCAGAAAGTTAACCAGAGGTCAAGTTCTCTTGCAGAGAAAGAAAGGATTTAAAAATTTTTTCCCCATAATAGTAGTGTGATTTATCTAAGTTTTGAATTTGTTTTTTAATTACAACATGTCAAAAAAACTCTTGTTCTTGACCAGGCATTCACATTTGAAATGCCATGTAGCTTTTTTTGTTGTTGTTTTATTTTTAAATAACTGCAACCTTGCTCCATTCTTACGTTTTTTTGATGAATCAACCCTTTTATCATTACGAAGTGGCTTGTTTTAGTCTCTGGTAAAACAATTTGTTTTGAAATTTAAAATGGGAGTCATTAGGTCTACAGTACCAGAAGTGGAAATACATTTTTCTAAAGCTCCATGGTGATTTTGAAATGCGCACTGTCTTGAGAATCATTTCTCTGGACCCTTGGAGTTGGTTCTCAGTAGAGTGCATTTCATATGGAGATTCTAATCCTGGATGTTCATTTCCTCCCAGGAGTATAATCTTCATGATGATACATTTCTAAATGTAAAGCACAAGACTTTCTCATAGAATTACTACTGTGTAAATTGGAATGTAACAGACAGCAAAACATGGAACGTTGCTAGGCTTCCTGTATTGTGTCACAAATCTGGTTAAGAATCCTCCCCTCATATCCCCAGTTTGGATTACTAAAGCAAAAGTCCAGAATGAGGGGGCCCAGGCAACTTTCAAGTAATTTTTTTAAATTGTGGTAAAAAGCACATAATATAAAATTTGCCATCTTAACACTACTCTCAACAGTGTTAAGTATATGAACAGAGTTTGCAACCTCTCCAGCACATCTTACAAAACCCAGACTCCATCCCCACTAAACGGCTTCCCATGTCCCCTGCACCCAGCCCCTGGAAAGCACCCCTCTCTTTTCTTTCCCTGTAAATGCGACTGCTCTGTCTAGGTGACTGGCTCATTTCACAGTGTTCTCGAGATTCATCCATGTTGTGGCATGTGTCAGAATTTACTTCTTTTTTAAGTCCGGATAATAAATCCATTGTATGTATATACAAGATAGATTTTGAGGTTCAGGCCAGAGGCCTAGGAACCATCCCAAGTGTGGCAGAACTTGTTCCAGCATTGGTTTTGTTAGTCATATTTGTAATCATAAAGAGAGAATAGAAAATAAGGTGGTTATTATGGTTAAAAAAATCGTATTATCATTGTAAGTGATTAAAAAATGTTTTAGCCTAATTTAGAACTTTTGGTTAGTTTTTCATCTTTGTCTCCTTAATGATGTTTGTTTTCTTGGTTAGTTATGAATAACTAGTAATACTAAATACTAATACATTGCTTTAACATAGCTATTTCGAGTTGCTAACAAATACATTTTTCTTTTTTATTTCCCTCTCCATTGGTACATACATGTATGTGTATGTACACATGTGCACACACCCAAACGTAATGTGGGGAAACCAGCTGCATTTTAGAGGTTTAATGGTGTTATAAGCAGCAGTAGTATAAGGCCATGATGACTGTGGTTTTGAATTTTCAATGATAAAAGTCAGCTTTTTTATTTTTTTAAAAAGTTTATTTTCAGTTATAGTTTACATACAATATTATATTAATGTCAGGTGTACAACATAGTGATTAGACATTTATATTTCTTGGGAAGTGATCACCCCGATAGTTATTACATTATTATGGACTATATTCCCTGTGCTGTACTTTACATCCTTGTGGCTATTTTTTTAATTGTATTTTTTTCTTTACTCTTTAGTCCCCTTACACCCCCTTCTCTCCTGCAATCACCATGCTGTTGTCCATATCCATGAGTCCTTTTTCGTTTTTGCTCAATCCCCTCCCCCTCACCTCCCTCCCTCCCCAGCTGTCATCCTGCTCTCCATCTATGAGTCTGTCTCTATTTTCCTTGTTAGTTGTTTGTTCATTAGATTCCACATATGAGTGAAATTATGTGGTATTTATCTTTCTCTGACTGGCTTATTTCATTTATCATAATGTTCTCCAGGTCTACCCAGGCTGTCGAAAAGGGTAAAATTTTCTTCTTTTCTACAGCTGTGTAGTATTCCGTTGTGTAAATGTCCCAGTCATTTTATCCACTCATCTGCTGATGGACACTTGGGCTGCTTCCAAATCTTGGCGATTGTAAAGAACACTGCAGTGAACACAGGGGTGCTCATATTCTTTCGAAGCAATGTTTCCAGTTTCTTGGGATAAATTCCTGGAAGTGGAATCGCAGGTCATAAGACAATTCCATTTTTAATTTTTTGAGGTATCTCCATACTGCTTTCCACAGTGGCTGCACCAGTTTGTATTTCCACCAACAGTGCAAAAGGGTTCCCCTTTCTCCACATCCTCACCAGCACTTGTTGTTTGTTGATTTATTGGTGATAGCCATTCTGACAGGTGTGAGATATCTCACTGTGGTTTTAATTTGCATTTCCCTGATGATTGGTAATGTTGAGCATTTTTTATGTCTATTGGCGATCTACATGTCCTCTTTGGAGAAATGTCTATTTCATTCCTCTGCCTATTATTTTAATCAGATTGTGTGTGTTTTTTTTTTTCATGATAAATTGTATGAGTCTTCTATGTATTTTGGATATTAACTCCTTATTGGATGTATCATTTTGAGTATCTTCTCCCATTCAATAAACTGTCTTGTTTTGTTGTTGATGGTTTTCTTCTCTATGCGAAAACTTTTTAGTTTGATATTGTCCCATTTGTTTATTTTTTCTTTTGTTTCCTTTGCTGGAGGAGAGATCAAAAAAAATATTACAAAGAGTGATGTCGAAGAGTTTATTGCCTGTGTTTTCTTCTAGTTTTATGGTTTTGGGTCTAACATTTAGGTCTATAATCCATATTGAGTATATTTTGTATATGGTGTAAGAAAGTGGTCTAGTCCCTTTTTATTAAATTTATTGGGATGACATTAGTTAATAAGATTATGAGTTCAAGTGTACAATTCTATAATACATCATCTGTATATTGCATTACCACCAAAAGATTACACTTGTGCTTACCACCTCAAGTGTAGTCTTTTTTCATCACCATTTTTGACCTTCATTACCCTCTTTCACTTCCCCTACTTCCTTCCCCTCTGCTAACCACCATACTGTTGCTTGTGTCTTTGAGTTGTTATTTTTTTGCTTTCTGTTTTATATCCCATACATGAGTGAAATCATGGTTCTTGTACTTTTCTGTCTCACTTATTTTGCTTCATATGAAACTCTCAAGTTTTACCCATGTTGTCCCAAAGTTCATCTTTTCTTATGGCCAAGGAGTATTCCATTGTATATATGTGTTACTTCCCTTCATCCAGCTTTCCGTTGAAGGACGCTAGGTTGTTTCCATGTCTTGCCCACCATGAACAATGCTGCAAAGAACATAGGGTGCATATATGTTTATAGATAAATGTTTCTAGATTTTTTTGACTGTGTACCCAGAAGAGGGATTCCTGGATCATATGGTAGCTGTTTTTTAAATTTTTTTGAGGAACCTCCATACTGTTTTGTACAGTGGCTGTACTAGCTTATCTTCCCACTAGCAGTGTCTGAGGGTTTCTTTTTCATTACATCATCTCCAGCACTTGCTATTTCTTTTCTTGTTGATACTAGATTTTTGTAGATACTAGTTCTAGATTTTTTGTGTGGTTAGCATTAGGTTTATGCAAAATAAAGTTTCATATATACAGTAACCCTTCTTAAAAATTTTTTTTTATTCTCAACCGAGGACATACTTTTATTGCTTTTTGAGAGAAAGAAAGAGAGAAACATTGCTTGGTTGCCTCTCATACACACCTGGGCCAGGGATCGTTTGTCCCCGGGCCGGAGATCAAACCCACAACCTTTTGGTTATGGGATGACACTCCAACTCAGCCACACTGGCCAGGGCAGTTCTTTTTCTTCTGATTGCATTTCATCTTCATTTGCCTGTGCAAGGTCAGTCCTTTATCCCGTCCCCTTTTGTTATTGTTGTCTTATGTTCTGAGTTCATTGTCACATTGCAGTAGCTATTGTCTTCTTTTTTAAATGTGTTTACCTCCTTAAGTCATTATGTAATATTTAAGTGTTTAATATTCTATGCTGAACAAGGGCTGCAATTTCCTGCTTCTG